CATCTCTGTCGTACGCATGGCATTATATACTATGGATTGTTGCTAATTTATCACTTTGTTTATGCGTGATAACACTAAATGCGTACTATAGTATCAACATTCAACAATGTATACTGCATATTGTACTTAATGAAACAAATTAATCAATGCAAATAAAACTGAGGTAGGAATTTGACTAGACAAAGTTAAAATGTGCAAGTTGTACTGAATGGCATACGTAAATTAACGCAATTTAAATAAAAATTATGACTATAAAAGTACATCGAGTCTAGGACAAATTACAACTGATCTGATCATAACATAAGCAAAACGCGTACTGTATGTTTGTGTTACCTTGAAATTTAATTTTATTGGTCAAACAGGTCTAGATAGCAACACTTGAACTATACAGGATGCAATACGCGTACTGTATGTTTATATAACACAAATGCGTATTTCCTACAGATGGCAGCAAGGGGAGAAAGGAATATAGAAAGTAATCAATTTGCTATAGATGTCTCTCCTTACACCTTCTCTCAAAGGTTCAAAAATTAGTTGTCTGCTACAAGCAATTTAGGAAGGAGGTTTCTACCTGCCTGCATATCTATATATATATTATCTTTGATGGTATCCGAAATATGTGTAAATAAGTAGTATCCGAAATAATTATAAATAAGTGGTATCCAAAATATTTATAAATAAGTGGAATCCGAAATATTTATAAATAAGTGGTATCCGGAATATTTATATATAAGTGGTATCCGAAATATTTATAAATAAGTGGTATCCGAAATATTTATATATAAGTGGTATCCGAAATATTTATATATAAGTGGTATCCGAAATATTTATATATAAGTGGTATCCGAAATATTTATAAATAAGTGGTATCCGAAATATTTATACATAAGTGGTATCCGAAATAGATGTATGTATTAATGCTTAATTGAATGAAAGGTTATATTCTTGTAAAGAAGGAAAGAATTTACTTTTACTCTAATCTTCAAGAAGAATAGGAAAAGTAATATGGAAATTTAATAAGAATTGGGAATAATTTTGAGTTAATTGTTTTATGACACATTAAAATGTTTAGTGTTGATATAGAAAACAACCAATAATTGTGATAATTGTGACCTCTCAATAGAGATGGGCACAGGAGGCTGGATCTTAGCTACCTGTCCGTGTATATTAGCATGAGTGTACAATTAGGACAGTTTACTGATAAAAGATATTAAGAGATTATGGACTATTCGTACAGTAAAAACATCAATTATTTATGCAATTTCTAACATCTAAGGTGTTAGAAATTGCATAAAAGTGGTCGAAATAAACAGCAGAAAATGCCAGGCCAGTCTCAAACAACTATACTTTTTATGCTTAATAGATCACTGATTCCCAATGATTTAAAACCCTTTTAAACAGACTCTCGTAGGTGCAGTCCAGTTCAAAAAGGAAATGACAAATTCACAACGGTACCCTATATACCTATATCTGATCTATAATGTAGTCGTAATTTTCTCCATTGTTTTTATTAGAAAACCCCGAAAATCACTTTCCAGAGAAATCAGGATTAAAATATCCTACTTTCAAGGATTTTATTGATTACAGAAATTATGTCGTGCCTTCGTAATCAAGGGTAGTACTGTGAACCGTACATCCTTCTCTATTTAAAGAGAAAGTTGAAATTATGTTATATGATGTCTACAGTTTTATTATTTTTTTTTAAATTGAAAACCTATTTCTGCTTAAATGAAAATAAATAATATCACCCCGAGTATTGTAATATACAGATTGACCTTGGAAAGAGGAGTACATGGCCTGTACAATTAGTAAAGGATTAGCCTACATCATCACTCTATAAACTATAACCTCGTTGGATGGGCATCATTTTTATGAACGTACGAAATTTTTGTGAATGAACAAAAGTTTTGTAAATGAACAAAATTTTTCATGAACGATGCTGTTGTTCAGAAAAAAACGAGCTATTGATGAATTATATTGGATTATTGGATAATTATATATTGGATTGTTTAGAGAAATGAAAAACTATCGTCTTTTTACTGAAAGGACAAATTTTCCGAAAGATTTTGAAAAAAATATAGTTTTGTTTACTGAACGAACGTTTTTTTCCTAAAATGTACTTTGTTCATGGAAAGTCATTATAATGACTATAAGTATAACACATTAATTATTAATTATTATTATTAATTAATTTTAAGCATTCTATAAAGTATGAATTTCTCACTTTTTTTATAACAAATTAAAACTGGATTAGAATTATGAGGATTCAAAGCTAAACCGGTAATTGGGGAATAAGAAGACGACATTAAAGCAATCTTTAAGTGATTTCTAGTTGTTTAGCTAGTTTTACTGATAGCTTAAAAATCTAGTATTACGTGAATTAACGGGTCTGTTTACACTGCACAATTGCTGTTTTTCATGCTTATTTGTCTGTTAGAAATCATAACTTTAGTCTAGAATTCTTCTTCCTTTTCCACAGTTTGCTGGGTCTCATTGTTCTACTTAAAACAATCTTTAATCTAACTAACTTCAAGTTTGAGTTAGTAAGATGTATTTCTCTGAAGAAAAAGAAAAGAATAGTGTTATGTCGTCATGCTTGATTGGGAATGATTAGGGGTAAAACAAAACAAATAGAAATCATTTATAAATAAAACGTTTTCTTTATTTAGATACATGTAAATGAACATCTCAGTTTTCAATGATAAAATCAATACAGTATTTTCTGACGACCTTGAGACTAAAATTGACAGTTTTACAATTGTATATTTCCAGGAGTTTTAGCCATTGTTTTTATCCGTTTTTTTTAACATTCATGATTTTAGGGCGTTCAGGGGAAACTTTTTTCAGAATAGAAAATAAAATGGTAAATGACTTCGTAAATTTTCTTCAAGGTTATATCCAACAGTTCCAGAATCCATAAATATACTTTGCGTGTCTGTCTGTTTCCAAAAAACGTCAAAATGGCTAAATCAATCGGACCCAAACTAGATGTGCAAACTCTCCTCATGGCCCCAAGGAAGGATGATGGACAATCAATTTAGAAAAAAAATTTCCGGAAAAAATGTCGACATTCATTTTTTTTAATGCACGAATTAAAACAGAATTATCACCGATATTTCTTTAATGTAAAACGATAAATAGAAAAAATTGCTTAGTATCTAAAAATGTCCAACTCTTATAATTTCCTGGTCTGTGTTTAGCAAGGATGTAATGCAAGGAAAGTTATTTCAGAAGTGTACACATCTTTTGTACTGCAGTGTACTGTCTCTGGGCGGTAATGTAAACACAAGACGGATGTCACAGTCTGACATGGGATCCATCTTTCACATAAAAAAATCAATGAAATATTCTGGTCATAGGAAACTATTATGTGAATTATCAAAATTATCAATTTTAATGCTTTCTCCTCGCATACTAAACGAACACTGATGCATATATTCTTGTATACAAATTCCGCCCAAAGAGAACTGGTTTCAATATGTACGCAGAGTGTACGCAACTGCAATTAACTTTCCTTGCATTACACTCTTGGTGTTTAGAGTTGAGGTGGTTGTAAACAGTAAAGATTTCCAATTCATGATTTCCCAAGAACGGATATTTTGAGAATCCAAGGTTTTTGACTTAAACCCAATAAACTAATATCCTGCTTTGTGGAAAATAGCATGAAACTGTTATTGAGAAAAAGCATTTGTTATTTTAACTGTTTCCTTTGCCTGCAAGGTTTCCAAACAAAACTTCTATATATATATAATTTATTTATCGACTGAAAGATTGGGTTTTAAGAGTTAATTTTATTTTGTTTGAAATGAAAATATTGTTTTGAGCGACTACAGGAAAGCAAATATTGATTATTTAGTCCAAAAAAATTTGAAAGTTAGAATGACATTTACATTTTAAATCAAAACTTTATTATTCGTGTCTGATTAAGATCAGCCGTGTCTAAAAATAAATTAGATAAAAAAATTTAAATCTGAGAATAATAAAGAAAATTGAGGATGAAAAAAGAGAAAAAATGTACATGAAACAAAAGACGAAAAGAAATAGTGTCATAAATAGAAATTGACTAGATTAGTTGTTAATGAAAAAAGCAGAAAAATATGGAAATACGATAATTTTTCTATCTTTAATAAAGTAAAGTTGAAAGAAAAAATAAAAAGTTTTATTATTAACCAAGATTAAAGCTAAGTTTATCAAATCTAAAGAAAGAAATGATTTATTAATCTATTTTTCTAAGAAATTTTTCCAGAGTAGTATGGAAGTAAATTATTATTAAAACTTTTTTTGAGATCTAGATATCTATTATCTCCGTATCGAGATTATATTAATTGTACAAAATTGTTCACATGCATTTAATACATCTATTTTACGATACTATTGTGTACATATATTTTTAAGTTAAATAATAAAAAATCATACGGATACATTTTATCGTTTTTTCCTTTCATTAGAAATTTGGATTTAGGGATACTTGGATCCTGCAAAACATACAAATTGAAGAGTGCAAAAATGAAAGTGCATAGAATAAATTGCATATAATTAGTCGGTGACGAAGATTTTTTAAGAATCGTCTGCATATAATTTGAGCATTTAATAAAAAATCATACGGATACATTTTATCGTTTTTTCCTTTCATTAGAAATTTGGATTTAGGGATACTTGGATCCTGCAAAACATACAAATTGAAGAGTGCAAAAATGAAAGTGCATAGAATAAATTACATATAATTAGTCGGTGACGAAGATTTTTTAAGAATCGTCTGCATATAATTTGAGCATTTAATGTGGAAAATCAGATTGAGCAAGCATTCTAAAGTTTTTATGTAACAATGGTGTACTGGCAATGTATGCAATATGGAAGGAACTACGATTGTACTGACGAAGAACATTGAAAGTTCGACGTAAGTATGGCATTCCATTATTTAAACTATGTCGTCTTGATGCTAATTAGCCGACGTAATTATGGAAAACAAAATCAAGACATGTTAAATGTTGGAGAAGCAGTTAGTTTTAAATGGAACAAAAACACATTATGCTTAAAAGACTAGGCTCACGTAGAACATTGGTTCTGCGCTACTGTCTAGGATATTGAATAGAGATTAGTGCTTAACCTCTTCATTTCTCGCAAATCATCAGGTTATAGCAGGGTATGGTGCACGTTTATATTGTGCAAGGATTTTGAGATATCGATGTAGCGTAGTTATCTCCTCTTCTTGAGACATCATGATTTCTCGGCGGTGAGGTTTGACGGTTCAGGAGGCGTTACAGTTTCCACAGACTGAATCAGTAAAAGAAAGATCATTAGTTTATTGTGAGAGAAGATTCAGGGTATGAAGAAAGATTCAGATTTTTAAGCCGGAGTCCTCATAATTTTAGGGATGAATAATATCGATAGAGATTTATTCATTACGACATTTTAATTATAGAGACTCGGTTTAACTGAGGGTTTTTATTTCTATATTCTTTAATCAACATTACGGACATAAAAAATCTTTCTTTTTAAACAAATTGGCATTTCTTTTTTGCAGTAGCAAAGTTTTATATCCGAAATATTAAATTAAAGGGTAAAGGATGGAAAGAAGATCTTAAAACTTAGACAACTGACATTGCATGCTCAACGTTTAAGTTTTGTTAGAATTGAATTCCAATAGCGTGTGCGTTAGTTTTCGTGCAACGTGGTTTTAACCTTAAAATTGGCATTTAGTTCTTGCTTGCAGTAGCAAAGTTTTATGAATGGAATATTCAATTAAAAGGTACAGGGTGAAAGGAAAATCTTTAAACTTAGACAACTGACATTGCATGCTCAACGTTTAAATTTTGTTACAAGAGAATTCCATTAGCGTGTACGTTAGTTTTCGTGCAATAGGGTTTCAACCTTAATAATCCAAAATGATCCGTGTTCACGCTCCTGCTCTCTGTATATAAAAGGTTAAAAATTCATTGTTAATGAAGGAAATCTGCCAATCTTCTCGGGGACTTATGGGAATATATTTTTTTACCGTTATTATGTGCTGAGAGATGAAGCTGTAGGATCCGCTAGGTTCTCTGTGGTTCACCGCTCATTCGTCCTCCAGGTTTCAGTTTAACTAGGTAAAGAGAGAACCATGACGAATGGAAAAAATTTGAGTATCATTGGAAATCGAGGATTAGGTTAGAACATTGAACTATTAAGTAAGAACTTCGATTTTAGAATACTTTAATATCCTGGATATTTTAAATCTGAAGTATCAAATTATAGCTTAAAAAATGAGAAAATCTTTAAACTTTTAAACTTAGACAGCTGCCATAGAATACTTTAAATTGAACTTTTAGTTGAATAATTTTAAATAGCATGTACGTTGAGTTAAAACATTGAACTATTAATTAAGAGCTTCGATTTTAGAATACTTTAATATCCTGGATGTTTTAAATCTGCATTATCAAATTACGGATTAAAAGATGAGAAAATCTTTAAACTTAGACAACTGCCATAGAATACTTTAAATTGAAATTTTAATTCTGGTTCAAAAGGGTTTCGACCTTTGGAATCCAAAATGATCCTTGTGCACGTCCCTGCTCTCTGTATAAAAAGGATTAAAAATTCGTTTATAATGAAGGAAATCTGCCAGTCTTCCAGGGGACTTATGGAAATATATTTTTTTACCGTTATTTTCCGCTGGGAGGTGAAGCTATGGGATCCACCATATCCTTTGAGTTTCGCCACTCATTTATCCTCCAGGTATCAGTTTAACTAGGTATAGAAACCAAATTATGAAGAAGGAAGAGAAAGTTCATATATTTTCCTTTAAAATTGAAATTTTAATTGAATAATTTTAAATAGCATGTACATTAGTTCTGGTTCAAAAGGGTTTCGACCTTTGGAATCCAAAATGATCCTTGTGCACGTCCCTGCTCTCTGTATAAAAAGGATTAAAAATTCGTTTATAATGAAGGAAATCTGCCAGTCTTCCAGGGGACTTATGGAAATATATTTTTTTACCGTTATTTTCCGCTGGGAGGTGAAGCTATGGGATCCACCATATCCTTTGAGTTTCGCCACTCATTTATCCTCCAGGTATCAGTTTAACTAGGTATAGAAACCAAATTATGAAGAAGGAAGAGAAAGTTCATATATTTTCCTTTGAAATTAAGACTCTTTGGATTTAAAATATAATATGTTGATACAGTTTTAATTCCAGAATTTCGAGAATCATTGGAGTTCAAGACTTGGGATTTAAGAAAGACTTGGGATTTAAATTAATTAATCTAAATTAATCCTTGTGTAATTCCAGTCCTTATACTGGATTAATTCACATTTTCCTCAAAGATCCATCATAAAAAAGATTGGTTTTAAGATTTCCCTTAATTAACCTTTCTGGGCTCTAATGCTTTATGATTGACAGTTCTATGAAAGTTTGAAAACTTTTCAAAACTGCAGTTACCTTTTCCCTTTGTTTATAATTACCTTTGTATAAACAGGAGAGAAATTAACAAGGGTTGGATGTATTTGAAAGAAAGGAATTTTGGAAAGTATTTTATGATTGTATCAATATCTGAATACCGATAAAATGCATATTTGTTGTTGAAAGTTTACTAAACATAATATATCAGTTTTACATTAGTTTGTAAAGTTTCTCCTTGTGCACTGGTTTGCCAACTTTATACATGCAATCATTATTCCCCCCCCTTTCGTCCCACAGATATCATTCATTTCCCCTTCTCATTTATTCATTTCCCCTTCTCATTCATTCATTTCCACTTTCTTATTAGTCCCCCTTCTCATATCATTCATTTCCCCTTTGTTTAGCCCCCCCCCCCCCCTTCTTATATCATTCATTTCCAATCCCTATTCTAATCCTTTCCTTGACAGAGATCTTTTAAATGATTTTGTCTTGCACTTTACTTAACTTTTCTATTCCTTTTCTGGAATTTAATCTTTAACATGACATTTCTAATCCTATATTTGACTTTTTTTATCCTTTTCTTGAATTTAATTCTTAACATAACTTTTCTAACCCTATATTTGACTTTTCTATTCCTATATTTGACTTTTCTAACCCTATATTTGACTTTTCTATTCCTATATTTGACTTTTCTAATCCTTTTCTTGAATTTAATCCTTGTACATGACTGTTCTAACCCTTCATTTGACTTTTTTATTCCTTTTAACATAACTTTTCTAACCCTATATGTGACTTTTTAAACCTTAACATGACTTTTCTAATCATTTTCTTGACTTTTCTAATCATTTTCTTGACTTTAATCCTTGACTTGATTTCGCTAATCCTTTATTTAATTTCTCTTCATCATTCTTTCTACATATACATATAGATATTCTCCCAAGTTTATATCTTATATTTTAAATTCTTTAAGATTATTGAATGTTAAGGCTGCCTCTAGTCATCTATTAAAAAGCAATTTTCCCATAATATACTCCAGAAATTCAAACCAGGTCTCTCAGTCAATATTCCAGATATTTCCAACCTTCTAAACATTTTTCAATCTACTCATTTAAAATTTACATATTTACTTTTATTTACCTACCTACCTTTTCCTTTCTAACCAACCTACCTCCAACCAAATTAATTGCCTATCTACCTCTTCAAATCCCCACCTACCTTCCTATCCGAATTTATACCTACCTACCTTCCCACACAGTTATTTACTTATTTATCTACCTTCCTTCCTACCCAAGGGTGTAATGCAAGGAAAGTTAATTGAGGTTGTGTATACTCTGTGCACATATTGAAACCAGTTCTCTTTGGGCTGAATTTGTAAACAAGAATAGATGCATCAGTGTTCGTTTAGTATCCGAGGAGGTTAAAAGCATTAAATTTGATAATTTTGATAATTCACATAATAGTTTCCTATGACCAGAATATTTCATTGATTTTTTTATGTGAAAGATGGATCCCATGGCAGGCTGTAACATTCATCTTGTGTTTACGTTACCGCCCAGAAACAGTACACTGCAGTACAAAAGATGCAAACATTTCTGAAATAACTTTGCTTGCATTACATCCTTGTTCCTACCTATCTTTCTACTTACTGACATACCTTCCTCCTACCTATTTAACTTGTTTATTTTACCTATCATCCTACCTACCTAGTACCTATACACCTAAACACATAAAATACATTTTACATACGTATCTATCTACCTTCCTTCCTCCTTCCTTCCTTCCCCTCTATAGCCACACTGAAGTTGTTATTTTTTTCATTAATATTCTTGATTGTGAAGAATTAAGATATTTTAGAAGTACATTTTTCTCCTTGATACAAATACATAATGAATAACGATTGTATTAAAGGAGAGGAAGATGAGTAGGTGTTCTCTGGGTCCAGAATCCAACGCTACTTTATTAACGCTACTTTATATCCTCTACAATATTTAAATTTTATTTCAAAACTTATGCCTAGACTTTAAATTGAATATCTGAAGAGCAAAATACGGATAGATTGGATGGATTATTATTAGAAAGAAAGAATCAAAACTTTTTCAAATGTGTAAATAATAAGAAGCATCACAAAACATTCTTTACCAATCACAAGCAGACATAGTTAGTGATAGAAAGATAGCAAACCAATCAAATTCTTGAGATGATAAAAAAAGTTTCCTCCATCTATACTACTTGTTTAAACCTGTACTCTCAATCTCTGTATGGTCGTAAATTGTTTCCCCTAGCTGTAAACCAGTGCACTGATGTAATGGAAACAGAGGATATAATTTTCATCCGAGCTTATCTATCCATTAAAACTCTACTCTGGAGAGTAGGATGGGTTCACAGCTCTGTCCAGACCCAGAGAAAGGTTTAATTAGAACACACAGAGGGGAGTTTCGGTTTGGAGTAATCAGGACAGGATAAAACAATTGAAAAGTTGTAAATCTGCAATTTGTAAGATAATTGTATCTTACAAATACATAAAGTGGTCTATGGTTCTTTTTGTTTTTATGTTTATTATTTATAAAACACATTTTAAATTTTTTCTCTTTTTAAACTAAACACTGCTATTATATTTATTGTGTAACGGTCTTTCTATTATTCTCGACTCTACTCTTCATAATGTTTTCTTCAAAATGTTTCTTTATCACTATTCTTTTCATCAAATCATATTTTTCCCAAATTCCTATTTATCTTTTAACATAACCCCCGGTATATCATTCACTGCACCCTCCTTTTCCCACTTTCTCCCTTCCCCTCTTGTTCATCTCCTCTCACTCCGAGGTTTTAATATTTCTGTGAAACATTTCTTAATGGAGGAAACTAAGTTTCAAGCTTCTAGAAAGAATGTCACAAAAATATATCCTCCCATATCAAAACCCATCTCAGAGCTCTCTGTTCAATTCTAAACCAAGATATCTGGGTCGTAGAACTAACTTCTACATAGGGCTGGGCAAAGTTTCATTAACAACCAAAAGTTTTAATAAGTGTAGTTTCAAGTGACCCTCCAGTTGAAAAAGAGCATAACCAATTCACAGCCAAACCATTGATCATTTATTTAACCTTATTCTGAACAATAATGTGAAAGATTTCATAGTTTTTTAAAAAGTATTTATTGCTGAAAATTTCAGATTTTGTGTTTATAATTTAGTTACTTTTACTTGAAATGTATAGTTTATACATGCCCAGTACTACTTCTACCATCCTGATAAATGAGAGATAATATTTTTCTACCTCGGATAAATTATATAGTTCAGTCAGTAGACTCAATACGAGAACATCATTCTCTTTACAACTCAATCCAGAAAATAAAAGGAAAGAAAACATCAGTTTTGATATTTTATTTTTTAATTTTAAGCCTTTAACACCATTACTTTTCCTTTTTCAATGCTTAGTTATGGTAGAATATAATTGATAACAAATTAGTTACGGTAAATAGAATTGTCATTTTTAACTTTTGTAAGACTTTGAATTAATAACATTTAGTTATGGTAGAATAGTCATTATCAACATTGTTTGCTTTTAAAGACCCCTAGAAGTGATTTGATTAAAACATTAGTTATAAAATAGCATCAATCAAATCATTGGGGTTTATAAAAACTGAAATACAGTTAAAAAGCTTTAGTAACCTAAGATGCGAACTCATGTATTGTTGGTATCGAGATAAATACTTGACATCTTTCGTAAAGTGCCAATAAGACGTTCTCATGAACACTGAATAGCCAATCAAAAACCAGGGAAATCAAATTTTAACCAATGAGAGCACAGATAAATGTTGGTTATTTAAAATAAAGAGATTAAACAGATTATGTGTAAAATTCAAAAGTGACCACTGTGGATATCCAGAATTATGGGTATGCAACTCTAAAATTTCCTTCTTTGATGTTACTTGAATAAAAATGTTATGGTAGTTCACCTAGCTGGTTAGCTTTTATAGTCAAGGGTATGGTTTTTAAACTGTGAAATACCCATAATTTTTATTGCAATAATTACAAATAAAGCCCTATATTCTAATATTAACAAAAAGTTTGAAATTTTGAAATTATTTGGTTTCATAATGGTTTTGGGTATTTTATTTTACGAACAAAACATTGCGCTGGCTCTCAATAAAGGGTATAAAGGGTAGAAAAATCACTTCTTTTAAATCTGTTCTTATCTTTACCTCATGGCACACCTTTAGAGAGAAAAAAATGTGCCTTACAGGCTTACACAGAAATAGGCGCGTTTTTTTATCATTTCGTTCATTTTTTCAGTTGTTAAAAAAAATTGGTTTTGTTCATTCTCAAAATTATCGTTCAGTTTCCTTCGGTCTTTTCTCAATGAATGGTTGCTCGGTAAAATTGTTGATATAATAAAATCGTTGGCACAGTAAAATCCTTTCTAAATTGTTTGAACAATGTTAAATATTTTTTTTCGTTCGTTAAAAAAAAAAAAATCTTTTCTCTGAACAACCCAAATTTGCCCATCATTCTTTATTTCTGAACTATCGTTCGTTTCGTTTGTTCTAAAAAATGTTGCTCGTTCACAAAAACGATGCACATGTCTAGCCATACAGCCGTCAGAATGAATTCTTGTATTGGACGCTAAATTTAGTTTATTTCACCAGTGTTGGTTTAACTGCACATTAGCTGTCCATTATTCTATGGTTAGCCTTGTAACCTGGAGTCTACTACCTCACTTAGAAATTCTATCTAACAAATTGGAAACCAACTTGTAACATATCTCTTTAACTTTTCAACAATTAGATGGAGAGTTTTAAAATACCCACAGAGGGTTTAATGAACAAATTATGTTTAGGAAAATTGACATGTGCAATGCACGCATGACAAATGATGTGTAAGAAAATTGACGTGTGCAATGCACTGTGCATGACAAATGAAGTGTAGGAAAATGTAGGAATACTATTGAAGGACAAATGAGGTTATAAAGAAAGTGGGCTCCTCTTATTCTTAATTAAATACAAAGATCCTAATTGCTCGCCACATTCTCTATTTCAATTTTTCTAACCCTTATATTTTTTGCAATCTTATGTTGTATTTCAAAGTATGAATTCTGTTAGATCAACTAATTAAAGTTTGAAACACCAAAGGTTTTAATTCCATCAGGTTGCAAAGATATAGGGATTAGAAAATTGCATTTTTTTAAGTGCTCGTTTTCTTTCACAAATTTTATACTCTAAATCTAAATGATGTTTTTCAATCTTATTTCAGACATTTACAACTTCATTTGGCTAAATGTTAACTTTGAACTGTTTCAGACATTGTGCCTCCAGAGCAAGTTATTGACATCGGAAGACAGGCAAGGTTGGAATGTCTGACGGAGGAGAGAGATAGGACGTCCATACTCTGGAGGAAGGACGGAGAAGTGATCCCTCCGTCATCCAATATAGTTCAAAACCGGCAAACCCTGCAGATATTTAACATAGAGAGGACTAACTACGGGATGTATCAATGTTTTGTGACCAGGGGGAACAGGGAGGTTGAGGCTAGGGGAGAACTCAGGCTTGGAGGTAGGTCATCTTAGGACGGAGAAGGATGTGGGAGGGGTGGGTGGGGGTATTTGTTCTTTGAAAGAGGAGGGGTGGGGTGTGCATCCATGCTCTATAAAGGAGAAGGGGGGATTATGTTAATTTTCAATTCAGAAAGGCCTTTCGAGGTGCATGTATAGTTGTATACTGTGTATAGTACTAGTACTATTCACGCACCTCTGACCCTTCAGTAAAAGTAAATTCAACCCACAGTCCGACCGCGTCAACCTTGTTGCCCGGCTAGTCCAATTGAGTGTCTGCTTTATTTACTTAATGTACGGGCGATACAATACAAACCCGGCTCGGAAATTCAAATGTACTACGGCTGCCCGTGTATTACAATCATAGTGTGTAGTATACTATTACTATTACAATCATAGTGTGTAGTACTAGTACATATATTACAATCAATTATAATGGAATAATAAAAAGTATAAGATAACTTTATTTATTCAGTCACACTTAGGGTAAAGGCGGTAAAGGGGAAATAGTTTTCAGATTATCTAAATCATAGACTTATTGAGATATACTTTTTAGCGACTTATCTACCGAATAAAAGGAGGGGGGGGCTGTAAGAATAATATAAGGTGTAAAACCCTGAATGGGGGAATGAGGAGGGGTTTCAAGCTTCTAGAAAGNTACCCATATGTTCTGAAAATGTACAACTTTGAACTGTGTACCCATATGTTCTGAAAATGTACAACTTTGAACTGTGTACCCATATGTTCTGAAAATGTACAACTTTGAACTGTGTACCCATATGTTCTGAAAATGTACAACTTTGAACTGTGTACCCATATGTTCTGAAAATGTACAACTTTGAACTGTGTACCCATATGTTCTGAAAATGTACAACTTTGAACTGTGTACCCATATGTTCTGAAAATGTACAACTTTGAATTTTGTACCCAAATGTTCTGAGATTGTGCAGTGTTCTTTGAACTGTGCACCAAAATGTTCTAAAAGCGTGTACTTTAAACTGTGTATACCCAAATGTTCTGAAAGTATGCACTATGAACTGTGTAGTGGGTAACCATATGTTCTGAAAGTATGCACTATGAACTGTGTACCCAAATTTCTAAAAGCGTGTACTATAAACTGTGTATACCCAAATTTCATGAAAGTGTTTACTATGAACTGTGTACCCATATGTTCTGAAAGTCTGTACTATGCTTTGTGTACCCAAATGTTCTAAACGCGAGTACTATGAAAAGTGCATCCATATGTTCTATGAACTGTGTACATAAATTTTCTAAAAGTGTGTACTATGAAATGTTTACCCAACTTTTCTAAAAGTGTTTACAATGAACTATGTACCCAAATGTTCTTTAAGTGTGTACAGTAAATTGTGAACCATTTCTTAAAAGTATGTGTACTGGGAAATGTGTACCCATATACGCTGAAATTGTGTTTTATGTTCTGAAAGTGTGGTTTATGTTCTAAAAGTGTTTTCTATGTACTGACAGTGTGTTCTATGTAATGAAAGTGTGTGAAAGTGTGTTCTATGTACTGAAAGGTGAAAGTGTGTTCTATGTAATGAAAGTGTGTGAAAGTGTTTTCTATGTTCTGAAAGGTGAAAGTGTGTTCTTTGTTCTGAAAGGTGAAAGTGTGTTCTATGTTCTTGGTTTACGAGTATATATATTTAGATGCTGAACCCTATCTGGTTTACGAGTATATATATTTAGATGCTGAACCCTATCCGGTTTACGAGTATGTATCTTTAGATGCTGAACCCTATCCGGTTTACGTGTATGTATATTTAGATGCTGAACCCTATCTGGTTTACGAGTATATATATTTAGATGCTCAACCCTATCTGGTTTACGAGTATATACTATATATATTTAGATGCTGAACCCTATCTGGTTTATGAGTATATATATTTAGATGCTGAACCCTATCTGGTTTATGAGAATATATATTTAGATGCTGAACCCTATCTGGTCTACGAGTATATATATTTAGATGCTGAACCCTATCTGGTTTATGAGTATATATATTTAGATGCTGAACCCTATCTGGTTTATGAGAATATATATTTAGATGCTGAACCCTATCTGGTCTACGAGTATATATATTTAGATAAACACTATCTGGTCTACTAGAACACATATATTTAGATGCTGAACCCTATCTGGTCTACGAGTTTATAGAACAGACCCTACAGCCTGGTCCTCCAGTCTGCTTAAAGTGCAGCAGCAAAGGTTCTCCACCTCCTCAAATATACTGGACGAAGAATGGACAGGATCTACCAAAATCAGACAGGTTAGGGTTAAAGGATTCGAACACTTACCTCACACTCTAATTTAATAATCAGCATATCTTTGCAACCTGATTGTGAAATTTAATGATATTTTAAACTTTTAGATCTAGCAGAATTGATAGTTTAAAATACCAAAGGTCTATTACATCAGGTCGTAAATAGATACATTAGACACATATTATGAATTAAGTTTGTTTCGTTCAACAATTTAGTTTTGAGACACATTCCTATTAAATGAATCTATACTTTATCAATGCTCCCACCTCAACAACCTGCTCTTGACTCCCACTCCCTTTTATATGATTGGTTCGGGTTTCACTCCCTGCAAAAGTTTGAGTGACATTTTTTTTCTTTAATGATTTGGTTCAGGTTTTGCTTCTAGTCAAAGTTTGAGTGGTGATCACTCCCTTTAATGATTTGGTTCAGGTTTAGTCCCTAGTCAAAGTTTGAGTGGTGGTCACTCCCTTCAATAATTTGGTTTAAGTTTAGTCCCAAGTCAAGGTTTGGGTAGCAGTTACTCACTTCAATAATTTAAGTGACATTTTCTACCTTTAATGAAATGGTTCAGGTTTTACTCTTAGTCAAAGTTTAAGTAGCGTGGTTAATCCCTTTAATAATTCTAGTTAAAATTAGTGTGTTATATAGCGTAATTTTAAATGACTCCTCTGTAAAGATGGAATTCCCGATTCACAAAGGCACCCTTTAAAGGTTTGCGGATTGAATAGATTTCACTGTTTATAATTTTAAAACTGATCATTTTCAATTTTGGTTTCTCTTCAAAAGTGACTTTGCAGAAAAACATAAAAAATTACTCTAAATTTTTAAACCTAGAAAAAAAGAACAAGTCTGCCACATTATTAATCAGATTAAGGATTCAAGGATATCGTTGTAAATCCGGCCTTGCCATCTATGAATCAAAGTTTTAGTTTTGGATATAAATTAACACAATTAATGTCTGCCAGGTTTAAAGGAGTCTTTGCCACAAACTCTGATTTTCTAATCACTATATCGGCATATAGCGTAGACCTTAGATTTTTCAAACTATGAATTCTGTCAGATCAAATAATTTCATTTTGAAATATAAAAAGTTTAGGGCAAAGATACTGGGTTTAGAAAATTTGAGTTTGTGACAAAGACTCAATTCCTTTACATCAAATCGGTTTTAGTTTCCGCTGTTCACTATGGACAAGCTGAGGTTTAATTTCAGCTCTGGGTACAAGTTTTCACTAAACAAGGAAGCTTAGGTTTAGTTTCAGCTCTGGGTACAAGTTTTCACTGAACAAGGAAGTTTAGGTTTAATTTCAGCTCTGGGTACAAGTTTTCACTGAACAAGGATACTTTTTCCCCGGATTTGAAATGTATTTATCATCGGGGAGGACAAATTTATGTTTTCAATTTATTTTACATCCAATTTCAGAGTTTAAAGCCGGGAGCAGTATTGAGAATATAAAATATTATCTAAGCTTCGAATTGTTTGATTAATGGTTGTATGAAAATTTAATTTTAATAGAAACTCGCTTTAACAAACCACATCGTTNCCCCAACTCCCCTTTCCTTACATACTATATATATTAGCAATATTCAGTAGAACTAGTAGAACCCGTATCAGCAAATATATTGCAAAACTCTCCAGTTTCTATAAAGGGAAAACTTTGCAAATTCTTTCCTTTTGTTTGCAACAAAGCCTGGTTTTAGCCGGGGGTTAAACTTGTTAGAGAGGGAGAATACAAATACGCTAAACTTTTCAGCTTTCTCTCCTTCCCTTCGTCCTTCATTCCCTTCTTTCCTTCCCTTTCCTCCTTCCCCTCCTTACCACTGTTCTTTCCTCTACTCTCATCTTTTCCCATTACTTCTCTCATCCTTTAATTGCCTTCACATTAAAACCAATAGTTGCATGCATCCTAACCAGTTCAAGGACAACAGTTTAGTTTTTACTTGTACCAATCCCGTCTAGTGTACCCTGTGTGTGTTCCGCAACAATAATAGGCAGGCTGGTGTACTGGGCTTTCTTTTCGGCTTTTATCTCTTTTTTCTCTAAAAGGAAATGAGTCTTTGCCACAAACTCTGGTTTTTAAATCCCTATATCTTAACAACCCAATGTTGTAGACCTTAGATATTTCAAACTTTCACTTCTGTTATATCAATAAATCAAAGTTTGAAATATCCAAGGTTTACATAATTTTGTTGTAGATATATAGGTATTAGAAAATTGGGATTTGTTGCTAAGACTCAATTCCTTTGCATCTTTCCCGCACTCTTTTTATATTCCAAAACTTCTTTCCCAGTGTCATTAATTCATTTCCTTTCCCTTTCCTTGCCCTGCTTTTATTTTTCGTGTCCTCTCTGCTTTCCTTTCTCTTTAACTTATTTGCCCTTCTTTCCTCCTTCCTTGCTTACAATTAAAAAGCTAAAACTGAACACTCATAGCTTCTTAATCAACGCATTTAAGCTTTTAAAGGTATTGATTCTTTACAACACACTAAAATTATCTAATCCTTATATCTTTGTAACCATAAGGTGTACACCTTTGATATTTCAAAATTAGATTATTTTAGCTAAAAGAATTCATAGTTTGAAATATCCATGGTCTACGGCATTGGGCTCTGAAGATATATGGATCATAAAATCTAAATTTGTGGCAAAGAACCAATTCCTTTAAAAAAACTCTTTTGAACTGAATTGTTTTGAACGACCCTTAATATAAAGGATTTTGTGTTTTGAATATTTCAATTTTAAATATGATATATTTGAATAAAATATGTAGATATCAATATTATTCAATATATTGACTCTGGTCTAGGCATTGCAAGCCTGTGCAACGAACCCTACATAAATATCTTAAAGATTTTAGATCAACATTTTGTTTAAAAAAATAAACAATACCACTAAAATTAAGTACATAAATATCATCTTACATCATCGGCATTTATATCAATAAAATTAGGACGACCCATCTATTTAAGTTTTCAGCTTTTTTTAAACTGCAAGTTTACAAGTAAACATTAATTGTACTCGGTAACACGACTGTATAATAGCTAAGAACCAAAAAAGAATAATTTTCTAAGAAATAAGAACTAAGAACCAATAACTAAGAACTAAAAACTAAGAATTAAGAACCAAGAATTAAGAACCAAGAACCAAGAAAAAAGAAAAAAGAATAAGAATTAAAAACATAAGAACTGAAAACTAAGAACAAAGACATAAGAACTATAAGCTTGGAAATAAGGCATCAGAACTAAGAATTAAGTACTTAGAGCTTAAGACTAAAAACTTAAAACTTTAAACTAAGAGCTAAGAACTAGGAACTAAGAATTAAGAACTAAGAACTAAGAACTAAGAACTAAGAACTAAGAACTAAGAACTAAGAACTAAGAACTAAGAACTAAAAACTAAGAACTAAGAACTAAGAACTAAGAACATTAAGAACTAAGAAAAAGAACTAAGAACTAGGCACAGTAAGAACATTAAGGACTAAGAACTGAGAACTATAAATTAAAAACTAAGATTAAAAAAAAATAATTGTTACAGAACTTGGAATTACAAAAAGCAAGTTTTTATGATGAATACTTGATAACCCGAAGAAACGCTTAATGAGAAGTTTTTCCATCAATTATAGAAGAAAATCTTGACATTTTACATTTATATCCAGCACTTTACAACTTTATAGTTTCTCTTTACCACCAGACAACATGGTTTTCAGCAGATTACATAATATAGAAACCAGATGGTTTTATACATTATATATGATATTAATATATCATTCATGTCATCTTTAATCTCTGTTTATCGTTACAATTAACATAATGTTTTCAAACAACTAAAGTTAAAGCTTCAGTAATTAATTCAGTTCAATTTAATTAAAATCGTGGCATGTTCAATTCACAACGGTTCCCTTTAAAACCTTTTCTGATTAAAGTTGACAGATTTCCAGCATTAGATTTTATGAAAGGAAAAGAGGATCACTTGTAATTACAGTTCCTTTAACATCAAAATCTGTATACGCCATTTTGTAGAAGAGAAAAATATGGATTTATTTTAAACCAATAATATGTTGCTTTACAATTTACAATTTTGGACTGCGAGGTGAAAACTAAATTCAAATTATTAATAATTATAATAAATTAATATTAATATTAATATTAATAATAAACCATCAGGTTGCAACGACAGGAATTAGTAAATTTGAGTTCTTTTTAGAGAAAACAATTTTGCAATATGTTAAGGTTCTTAGAATTTTGTGAAGTAGTCTCCTACAAGCCGAAAAACCCTGAATGTAGAGGCTTTGGTTTATCTGACTTTATTTACATATATTTTGGATGTTTACAAAAAAAACAAGTTTTTTTTCTGCTTTACCGAGTAATTAAGTATGAGGAATTGTTCCAGACTTCCAAAGCTACAATCTCAATGTCGAGTTTTCATGATAAATGATACTTTTAGACAATCTATATATTCATATTCTATAGTTTAGACAACCTGTTCACACAATGCACATTCTCACATTTTTTATCCGAAAAGTTTATGAAATGAAAAGAATCCAAGGGTTTGAATTTTATGTTCTTCTTTGTATAATGTCGGCGTTCATAACAATTTCTTTATGCATGAATTATCCACAAACAGTAAAATTATTATTTAAGGTTTTTAAAAAATTTTGTTGCGTTTTTCAGTCAAAACATGAAATTGTTTAAATATATACAGAGAAAGTAGAAACTGAGTTTTTGCCACAAACTCGTCTGTATTTTTTTGTATGTTTCTCTTCTACTAAGCATGATAATTTACTGTTATCCTCCTTATTTTGATATGTTGCAATGCAAAAGAGAATGCAAAAAAATATTGCAATGCATTTAGATTATTAAAGTATTTCGTATTGTAATTTAAAAGTAAGCTTTTTTATCTTGAAGCCAATACTAAACATGATGCTGCAATTACAAGAGAAGACGACCTCTATCTCAAGCTATCCAGAAGTAATCATGTTAAATGGGACACACTGCTTCTAAAAAGCTATGAATTAAGAAGTAAGCATTATAACATTTGTTTCTTTTTAGATTTATGATTGGTCAGTATGTTTCTCCGCATAATGAAGTAATCAGCCATATAAACATTAGGGAGGTTACATTCATCATATTTTACTCAGACACGGGTTAGAACAATGACCTCAAATGACTTAGAATGACTTAGAATAAGCAACATTTTTAGCGAAATTTTAAGTGAGATTTGCTATTGTATACAGGACAATTGCTGTGTTTCAATTTCAATGGAATTATTTAATTAAAAACGTGAGTATAACAATGTTTTACAGTTTTAATCAGCAAGAATAATAAGAAATCATTTATCATCGTAAATTAGAAATGATTTATTATTTCTAGATCATGACGTTCTTTACCTTTAGAGGTTATCTGTAAATAACGTGCAATAATGATTTCTTTTAACTGAATTATTATTTTCTGACAATCAGAGTTCAGAGCTTGGAACTTTAGAATGGTGGATATCGAGATTAAGGCTTGATCCACTCTTTTTCTGGATCTCGAGATTAAATAATGCTTGTTCTCCTCTTGTTATTAATCTCCACATTAAGTAACTGATCGGGATTAAGGATATCCCATTCTAAAGTTTTCAGCTCTGATCTTTTAATTCATTTAGAAACTTTAATCCATATCATTGTTATTCTCCGGATTAATTCAAATCATTCAAACAATTATAAAGGTCGATGAGGAATTGCGAAAAAATGAAACAGCTGTTTTTTACGGATTAAGCCCTTTAAAATTTAAAGTTACAGCTTTCCATATTGAGCATAAGAAACATAATAATTGAATCTTAAGTTGATTTAAACTAAGAAATTGAGTCTTGGCCCTTAACTCTGATTTTCTAATCCTTAAATCATTGCTACCCAATGCATACGTCGTGAACCTTAGATATTTCAAACTATGAATTCCGTTTGATTCAATAATCTATGTTTGAAATCAGGTTGCAACTTGTAACGATATGGATTAGAAAATTTGAGTGTGTGGCAAAGACTCAATTTTCAACAATCAAAAAAGGTTCTATTGTATTAGTACACAAAATTCAGGTATGATTCTGTATGATTAATAGGTAGCCAATTATAAAACATTTAAAATGAATGCCTGCCGTACAGTCGAGCAATGGTAGAGGATGGTGGATTGTACACATGTACAGCAAAGAACAGGGCTGGGCAGGCTGTACATGCAGCTCGTCTAAACATATACGGTAGGAATTTTAAACACTTTTTTAATAACAAGTTTTAAATAATCAAATATCCTCAAAAAAGAGTCAATGATTGGAACTGATCATTTTTTCCAAACTGATGGCTCGAAGACCTTTGATATTTCAACTATGAACTCTGCTGGAACAAACAGTCAGTTGTGAAATATCAATGGTTTATACTTTACTAGCTTTGGCTGAAGTTTTCCATAAACAAGTCAACCCAATCAATTTAGAATTTTTGAACCATGCTCGTGGTTCTACCGAGTTCCCCAATCCTAAAATCTTTCCAGAGGTTCATAAGTTCTCATCAGACATCCAAACAAACAACCAGAGATTACTACTTTATAGATAAACCCAGAGATATAATAATAAGAAAAGTAGAGTTACCGCTGTCTCTTACAAATTATGACTTATTAATAAACAAAACTGCTTCTTCTAAAGCACAGTTTTTGTTTCTGCACAAAAATATACTTATTAATAAACAAAAATGCTTCTTCTAAAGCACAGTTTTTGTTTCTGCACAAAAATATGACTTATTAATAAACAAAAATGATTCTTCTTAAGTACAGTTTTTGTTTCTGCACAAAAAATTTACAAAAGTAATCCCAGTTTTTTTTACTAGCTGCGGATTAAATTGTTTTTTTAAAAATCTTTTTAAAGATATTTTTATTCTCTTTCAAGATTCATTTTAACTTGTAAACCTGAAACAAAAAAGGCAAGAATTATTTTTATTTAAACTTAACGAGTTCTCGTCTTAGGAAATATGTATTCTCTCATTTTCTCATTGTTTTAATTGAAGCTAAAGGGTCGGGGAATAAACTAATGAGTTTCTTCAAATTCTTAAAGAAAGTTTATGTTTAAAGAATGCGAAATATCTAGGAAATTACACAGTTTCTGAATAAATGAGAAAGTTAAAACATCAGGAATTTATTCTACTAAAAGTTTACTAATCCAAAATTCCAAATATGAATTAAAACATAAAAAGGTAGAAAAAACATTGCCATTTGCCGCCGAAAGGATGACAAGTAAAATGGAAATTAACTAAACTCACACCAATAAAACATTATATAAATATTCTAAATTATCTGATCCCTATATATATGCCCCCTGATGGTGTAGATATTTGATATTACAAGTCAGATAAAATAGATCTAACAGAATTCATAATATTGAAACATCATATTGAAACATCATACTTCATATATAAATATACACTGTGTTATGTCATCATAACTAATGAACCCCTGGACCGATTTGACTCGAATTTCGGTTGAGCCATTTTGTAGGAGAAATCTTGGTTTCTAGGCAAAGCTGGGTTCCCAGTTGTTAATAATAAGTATTAGTAAGTAAAATTCAAATGAAAATAATGGCCAAAAAAAGTGTAATTGTTGAAAGTTTTAGCGTTCTTGAATGTTAATGTGCACCCTGTTAGCATTTCCTGGTTGAACTTCATAAATTCATTTCCGGTTTTATAACGAAACTCTAATTACCGTCTCAGAAATATTATGCAGGAGTAATTAACATTATATATATAAACTATATTATTAAGAATTAAGAATTAGTCTGGGTAATCAAATAATGAACTAAAGCATTTCGAATATTTTAAAGGGACTGTATGGCAAATTTAAAGGGACTTTAAGGGATATTTAAAGTGACCTTTCATCAAAGAGATTTCAATGCTCGATTTACAGCGGTCCCCTTGAAACCTTAATCTGCAGAAGCCTAATTTAAAGAATTTTAGACGCGGCTTAAACATGGTTGGTTCGAGATTTGAACTCGCGCTCAAATGGAACCGGTTTTGGCGTTTCAGCGACGCGGTTTTAATCTTTTTTCGCTGGTTTCTTTGTTGTTTTATATGCACAATGAATGAAAAAGTCACTTTTGCAGAAAAACTGCAAATGAAAGTGAACGGTACCAGTATAAACGTCGGACCCAAAAACGTCGGAGGGTACAAACCTAAAACTTCGGACTGGTTCAAATGTTGGACGGTACAAACGTCGGACCGGTACAATCGTCAGACTAGTACAAACGTCGCAATAAGGGAAAACAAATGATTGAATTTTATGGTATAACTAAAATCTACCCAAAGGAACTGAGTTCTTCCCACTTATTATATTCATCCCTGTATTTTGCAACCTGATGCATGATATTAAACTTTGATACTTTCAAACTTAAACTATTTGATCTTACTGATTTCATAGGTTTAAATATCAAAGGTCTACTGCAGGTTGCAAAGATATAGGAGTTGAAACATCAGAATTTGTTTCTTGAACTCAAATTCTTTGTTTTTAAGAGTTGTTTTTACGAGTAACTTCAAGGGATGAGACTTTATTCAGTTGTCTTGAATTTTATCACAATACCACAATAGATGATTGATTTTCAATCTATTTCTCAAAACAATGGTCTTGTTTTTTACTACCTCAACCAAAGACCGACGTTTTTCCTTATAAATGTACCCATCCAACGTTTGTACTGGTCCGACGTTTGTACTGGACCGACGTTTGACCCAGTCCTCGACGGCTGTACCTCCGACATTTGTACTGTCCAACCTTTGTAACGTCCGACCTTTGATACAACGTCCGACGTTTGTACTGGGACCAAATGAACAGTTTAAAATAACAAATTCATTAATATCTAATTCATGCTTAATTAAAAAAGCTCTCAAGGGTACCGTTTTAAATCAAGAATTGCCATCTTTGTATGGCAGGTTACTTGAAATTACGCTCACTGTCCTTTTAAGTTTAGTAATTATGAAGAAAAGAGAAGGAGTACAACCAGCTATGCGATAAGTCAGGGACGTGCTGAAAATTCAAAACATTCATTTCCAAGGAGAATTCAGCCCCCACAGGAGGAGGCTGAGCCCCCCCCCCCTCCCCCTGGACAAATTCTGTATATCGCCCCTAGTTACTTTACAGTAAAATTATATGTTGTATGATGTAAGTACATAAAAAAATCCTCTGCAGATTCATGATTTGCCTGAAATTAAGGCAGTTTATTTATAAAATATTGTTATGTTTAGGCCCCCTATGGTGTATGATTTGCCTGAAATCAAGGCAGTTTATTTATAAAATATTGTTATGTTTAGGCCCCCTATGGTGCATGATTTGCCTGAAATTAAGGCAGTTTAATTATAAAATATTGTTATGTTTAGGTCCCCCTCTGGTGCATGATTTGCTTAAAATCAAGGCAGTTTAATTATAAAATATTGGTCCATGATTTGCCTGAAATTAAGGCAGTTTAATTATAAAATATTGTTATGTTTAGGCCCGCCTCTGGTGCATGATTTGCCTGAAATCAAGGCAGTTGTTGGAAGATCAGTTCGGGTTCTCTGTCCTGCTAGCGGATATCCTTTGGATAGAATCACGTGGTCAAAAGGTTAGTTTTCCCATTTATTCCCTTTCATTCAATTTTTTTTGCTCGATTTTTTGCTAAAATTTGACCTCGTTGTGAGCGACTTTGTGACCTCGTAGCTCCTCTATTTTTAATGTTTATGTCCTTAAGTATGAGAATATATATTTTGTTACAAAACGGATAGATTATAGAGGACGTGAGTCAGACTCTAATAAAAACGCATAAATAACTTCCAGTATATATATTTCTTATAACTTATTACCATAGGGTTCAGAACTAGAGTCCATATCGATATCACACATGTAGATGTTTTATCAGTACTATGCCCCGTATCCGTTCTATCTCATTCTGTTGAATCTTGTGGAACTTGTTTAACGCGGCCAGGCATCGTCTTCCACAAGATTATAGTAATTGAAAACTTTTCTACTATAAAAAAACGAGCTATGATTGAAATCATTTAAAATTTCTATATAACATAATATTTACTTGAATTGGACGCCCCCCTCCCTTTCTCCCTTCTGTAGTATATCTATTTACTCAATGACTATTAAAGCGTGATAAATAAATATTTGACATTTTTTTAGAGAAATTATTTGTTTGGAAAAATTGATGAAATATGATTATATTTCTTTTTTTGATTGTGAAGAATTTTCTTTTGAATCTCAAATTTGCTGCATGGTTTGTAATTCTATTGCAAAGATGCATATTTTATTGAACTTGAGTCTTGACTGTAAAAAAAATTCGACTTTAAAATATATCTAAAATGAAAATAAATAAATAAATATCAAACAAAAATCTACAAAATGGTACTTTTTTAATCTTAATCCTTATTAATGTTCTTTTTTGTAGGGCATAGTGCAATGGTAAATTATGCTTTTAGAATTTAGTAAAGTTTGTTTTTGTTTGAAGTTTTTTTTCTTAATTTGGTGTATATTATTTTTTAAAAAACATTTGATTGTTAAATCTAATTATCCCACAGATTAAGCAGATTGGACAAAAGATTTATTCTTTTTTTAATGCGCATTACGCAATGCAATCTATCTCATTAATCCTAAGCTGCATGACCCAATGCATCGAGTACTATTTCATAAATTGATTTAAAGGAAATAAGTTTTTGCCACAAACTCTAGTTTTTAAATCGCTGTATCTTTGCAACCCGATGTTGTTGTTTAAATTGATATTTTAAACTATGAACTCTTTAAGATTAAATGGTCTAAGTTTGAAACACAATTAGGTTCCAAAGATATAGGGATTAGAAATTTCAGTTTGTTGTAAAAACTCCTTTGCTTGTAGTTAATCCACTAAAAATGTATAATGTCTCTTTTATTCTATTCTAAAGGTCGTCATAAGGTCTTCATTGCTTGAAATAATGATGATTAATGTAGATTTAAATCAAGCGTCTAATTGTTAAACTTTAGATGGACGAGAATTGCGCACAGATGGCAAGGTTCAGGTGTTTACGAATGGAACCATGGAGATATCAACGATATCAGCTCAGGACGCCGGAAGCTACTCTTGCGCCGCGTCCAACAGGCAGGGTCAGGTCGCTTCCAAACACACGCTGCTGAAGGTCATAGGTTAGTAAACCCAGCTTGTTTGTATATATGTTGTTAATTTTAAAAGAAACATGTATTATTTAAATTTTATAATTCGGGGAATTAGTTGAAATGTAAATACATTTTTTCAACAGTTCTCTCAATCTTATTAAACTTTGGAATCGAGAATATGTTCCTAATTTTGTATTTGTATTCATAGATTTTCATCCATTCAGATCTCATTCAAACTTTACAAATTATTAATAAAAATATTTCAGTTTTCATCCCAACATTGTCTAACTTGAGATGATGGGCTCTCTCATTGCATATTGAGGCCTGAACTCACATTTGAACCATGTGTCACAATGGAGGACATATCGGTTCATCAGTTCAATCCTTGCAAAATTCAAAATGGCCACCTTTCTAGGATTTTCATGTTTTCCCGCGTTTTTTTTTTCTAAACCAGATTTTTTACTTTCAGTTCCTCCGCGAATTCAGAAGCCCGGTGAAACGCATAGATCCCTTACTATAGATGAACGCGTATCATTACTTTGCTCAGTAATTGAGGGGGATGAACCCATTACAATGATTTGGCTAAAGAACGGGGCAAACATTTCGGATTCAATGGAGGCCGAAGTTAATTTTGTCGGTCACGACTCAATACTCCGGATAAATAAACTGGGGGAGCATCATATAGGGAACTATAGTTGTCGGGCTTCCAATCCTGCCGGAGATACGGATATTTTCTTCTTTGTTGAAGTCAAGGGTACGTTCTAATTATTCTTGTATTTTCCTTGCACTGCACTTTTCCTAGTCGCACCAAAGATTCAACCTTTCACCTTCCTCGGAGACTTGGTGGAGGGTTCTAAGGGAGTTCGTCAGACCTGCTTCGTTATAGAGGGAGATCCTCCTCTCCTGGTCTCGTGGTTTAGAGATGGACAGGACCTGGAGTCGGACGAGTCTGTTCGAGTCACTAGAATAGACTCTTTGACATCCATGCTGGCCATATCTGATCTGACCAGCCGCCACTCAGGGAATTATACCTGTGTGGCAAAGAATGATGTAGCAGCTGTCGCTGAAACAGCTGTTCTTCTGGTTAAAGGCAAGTAGCACATTGCACAAATTAATTTTGCATGCAACACATATTTCGCACAAGCACCAGCACTTTATCTTTCGTTCAATTTTGAATAATCTGCAAATTTTCTACTTTTCTGCACTTGGTTCAAACTCTCATATAATGTTTTAGTAAAAAGGCGTCATATTTTGAATGCACGCCAGTTTAAACCCCAACTCAATTTCGAAAAAAGATTCTAACCATTAAAAAATACATTACTAAAATCAGTTACTTAAAGGGACTGTATATGAAATCTTAAATATAGACCTACATTTTGAAGCCGCATGTCCGATTTACAACGGTACCCTTTAAATCTTAATCTGACAGAGATATTTATATTTTCTTAATGGTGCCGAGGAACTCGACTGTATACATATTCACTATTCAGTGCTAAAGACTTCAAATGGTTCTCAAAGCAACTTAAATTTCAGCAAAAAAAATAGGAATTCTCCATGATCCATAATTAGATAATGGCAAGGTTATAATGCACGGAAAGCTAATTGCAGTTGCGTACACCTCTGAAATGACTTTCTTTGCATTATAATCTTGGAAAATAGTTTCTCCATTATCAATAGTTTGAATTTACCGTCGCGATTCTATAAATGGAGAGTCATTTTAAATCGCGTCAACAGTCCATTTAAAATTAATATAACTTTGAAATTTATAAAGAAAGCAACCCAAGAATATGTTTGTTGTGTAAACAAAAGTGTCCAATTTGCACTATAAACACTAGATATTACTGGTGTTCACTGTACACAGCAAAACATAGAATTCTAGCAGAAAAGCAGAAAGTTTGTTATTTTCGGAGAGTGTTCATGGATTTAAAAAGAAGGGTTTAGGATAAATTTAGACTAAATCTGCTTCAATACAATGTGATGATTATGGCTCTAATTTTTGAATCCCTATATCTTCGTAACCTATTGGTGTAAACCTTTGGCATTTCAAACTTAGATTGTGGGAAAGACTCAATTCCCTTGAAAAAGCTCTATTTATGGACGCAAAAATCAAGAAACATAGGATTTCGATAACAAATAATTCGACCTGCTTCTTTAAGAAAATTCATGAACATTCCTGAAATTTGTTTAAAAATTTATTAATCGAATTTGTTGACTTCAGTGCCCCCGACCTGGATCAATGCTCCAGTATCACAATCCGCCATTGAAGGACAATCTGTAGCATTTCCTTGTGAGGTCCGAGGAGTTCCTCCTCCGGTTCTTAAGTGGACGGTCAAATCAGGTAGCTAGACGACACTGACATCTCAAATCAGGTAGCTAAACGACACTGACATCTCAAATCAGGTAGCTAGACGACACTGACATCTCAAATCAGGTCGCTAGACGACACTGACATCTCAAATCAGGTAGCTAGACGACACTGACCTTTCAAAATGTCAGGAATTATGAAAGCTCTACTAAATTCGTACAGGTCCGACCCTATTCTCGTACTGTACTTCTCCCCATAATTGACTATATTAAAAGTAAGACATTTAATTATTTATTAAGATTTTTTCCGCAATTGCTCGGCTTTGCCTTTGACTGGGACTTAAATGTATCTAGAGTTTGCAGTGATAAATTGTCTTGACAGAATCCTAAGCAATTCTCTCACGCAAAAATCCATCAGAATTTTCCAAATTAAACAAATCTAGAAGCAAGTTTTCAAATCTACATGATTAGGGCTACAAAAAGGTATGAGGCCTAGAATATTTTAGCTTAATTTTCATAGTTTTTTAATCAATGTGTCTGATTGTCAACTTTTTAAAAGTGATAATTCTCATGATATTAAAGTATCTTTTATTTTCTTCAATGATTTTAAGAATACCCTGAATAGTTTTTCAAGAGGTCAAAACTTGTGTGTTGTTAATCCCAAGACCAAGCGATTGCTGTTTATTGTTATAAAATGAATTGGGGGTTTTATCTGTTAGGAATAACTAAGATTGAAGGATCAAATATAACCGTATCCCTGAAACTTAAAAGTTGTTACAGTGAATATCAACTCAAGCGATGTAGCTTAGCGCTTTATACAAAAGTTTTGATATTAGATTAAAGTTCAACATCTTTCGAACCCGTTCAAATCATATTCTGGCTCAGACGTTTTGAGAAGACAAATAGAGTTAGAGATAGAAGTTAATAATTAACAGTTATTGTATTAAATCTAGAAAAAAGAAAGCCCCTCACCCCCTCCTCAATGTTTTTTTTCATGACACCCTGTAATGGTTGCTTCTGAGCACCAAGCATTAACCAGAAAAACACTTTAGAAAATGAATTCAATAGGTATATTTTGTTGATAATTTCATCTTGTTATAATAAATGGAATTTGCACAATAATCATCAAATTAAGTTATAATAATCCTTGTAGGCTTTGGAACAATTTCATGAAATGAATCTAATGAATAAATTCAAAGTTACAGCGTTAAAGTTGAAGAAATTATGGAGATAGCAAGGGGGGAAGGAGGAATGTTTAATGGAAGAAAAGAAAAAGAGTGTCTGTCTATACAGAGAGCCCCATAAAACTGTGGAAGAGGACCCATTTCACTTAATAAGTTTATTCTACCGGTAAAACAATTTATTCCATAACAATATCAAATATAAAAAGATTACAAAATTTCGTCTTTCTATTCCACAGGTTTATATGAGGAATAGAAAGGGGGGAAATATCTCTCAATTTTATTAAATGATTTTCACAAATTTAACCATTAAACTATGGGTTCAGAATTAAACCCTGTTGTGTGCTCAACATTTACCATTTCATCCCGGGGTTTAATCACAACGTTTCTCTTCTCATCTTAATTAATTTTTCATTTTAGAGTTTAAACCCTGATAAAATTATTTTAGAGTGGGAAACCCTGATAAATTATTTTAGAGTGGAAACCCTGATATAATTATTTTAGAGTGGAAACCCTGATATCATAATTTTAGAGTGTAAACCCAGATATAATTATTTTAGAGTGGAAACCCTGATATAATTATTTTAGAGTGGAAACCCTGATATAATTATTTTAGAGTGGAAACCCTGATATCATTATTTTAGAGTTGAAACCCTGAGATAATTTTTTTAGAGTGAAACCCTGATATAATCATTTTAGAGTGGAAACCAAGATATAAATATTCTAAAGTGGAAACCCTAATACCATTCTTTTTATTCGTTTAGCTTCATATCCCTAACTTTTTTTCACATATTCATTCTGAAATTGGATGAAAATTCATAAAACTTTTGCAAAATGAAGTATCTTTTAACCCAGGATTTTTTGTTCTTTTTTATCAGACCTTAGCTGGCGTAAAGTTAGATAGATACGGAGACAATATAGTAGATTCTAGATATAGTCTATATACTTTTATTTCCTCTGTTCATTTCCTTTTATTAAGATTCTTTTGTATCCAATATATTTAAACTTTCTGTATACTTTTTTCTATAAACTGAGCATTATTTAATACTTTTCTAGAAAACAAAATAGTACTTCAAAGTGTTATGCAATTTTAGCCGAAAGTTGCCGTTTTTTAAAATTCCTCTCGTTTCGTTTTCGCTTTCAACCGTAAGTTTTTTTTCAAAAACGGCTAATAATTCGTTACGTTAACAATTAAAAATTAACAGTTTTTGTCTTTCGTTAACGGACTCTTCCGTTAATTTTCGGAAACCTCAGTTTCGTTAACAGAACTTTGCCCAGCCCTACTCTTCTCATACTCCAATTTTTCAAACCCTTACATCTTTCCCACCTGATGTAGTATTTTGACATTTCAAACTATAAAAGTTGCTAGACTAACTGACACGGTTTGCCCTACCATCTGATTATATGTCCGGGCGATACGGTACAAACTGGGACCGGAAAACTTCGACCCGGCTCGGAAATTCAAATGTACTACAGCTGCCCGTGAACTACCATTATTTTAATTTTTAAACTTATTTATTGTTATTTTCCATAAAAATTATTTATTTCCCTCTCAACATAATGGTGAAGAAACTTCAATCTTCTTTTTATGACTCAATAAGGAAATAGTTTTTGGAAATTGATTCTCTATATTGTAAATATTGAAGAAATTTAACAGTTTCCGGTTCTATAGATTCCACACATCAGTCCTTAGTAATCATTCACTCGGATCAACACAGCCAATAAAAATGATGCATACAAATTTACAAATTTTGAAGGGTTTCCAGGCAGGTTCTCTTAGGTTACCTTTACCTAGTAAATCATACTTTTTTGTAGCCTTTGACAAAATTATTTTAAAGCTGAAAACGCTCATTTCTTACTTTTGTTTCAAAGTAATGATTTTGCAAAGTTCTAATAAAGTATTAAAGTCTTTGCCTGCAAAAACATTAAATTTTCTAATCTCTTTATCTTTGCACCCTGATGGTGAAGACCTTTGGCATTTCAAAGTTCAAAGTTAATAACTACGATTAACGATATCAGGTCTAAACAGGAATTAGAAAATAACACTTGTGGCAAATACTCAATTCACACAGTGCCATAATGAAATTACACTTGAATATTCTAAAAATATTAAAATAATGATATTTCAGAAACTCATTTTATTTTGGTATTTTTTAATCTAAATAAAAAAAACGATTAGTCATCAAAATGTTACCATCCCAGGTCACCTTTTTTACCGTTTTAATCTGGCGACCATGTATAAAAATTATCTAGTTTTTCTTTTCCACTTTATTTTGGTGTACTCATTATAATTATATATATACAATACATATTCATTATAAAAATAAAATTTAATCTTTGCTTGGAGTCGACACTGAAAAACAGTATTATAACTGGTTATTTCTTGAATAATGTTTTTACTTGTTTTTCTATATTTTCTTATAAAACTGTGCGGGGGGTTGGAAACAAGTGTACATTTATAAAGATTTATTGGACAGAATTGTGGAGAAGGGTTTAAAGAAAAGCTAAGAAGGAGAAATAAAAAAAAACCGAGAAACAAATTTGCAAAGAATAAGAACTGAAGCTTTGCCACAGACTCAAATGTTGTAAACCTTTGATATTTTAAATCAGACTGTTTGATTCAACAGAATTCGAAGTTTGAAATATCAAAGGTTTACGAAATCAGGTTGCAAATATATTGGGATTAAAAAATTTAAGTTTGTGATAAAAAAGAAGAAAATATATTATAAAGAGAAATAGTGAATTAAAACGACAACGAAAGACGAAAAACAAAAAAAAATTATAATTTTTTTGTTGACGATAAATTTGTATTTTGTTTAGGTGGGGATTTGATGGTTTACTCCACCCTTGGATTGAGTAGGAGAGGAGAGGATTTGGAAATACAGGATAACGGAACCTTGATCATATCCAGGGCTGCAGTCAGGAACGATTTTAACCCTGGAGAAAAACATGTTTTTATCTTTCATTCTTGTTTTGTTTCATACATTTTGTTAGAGCGCATTTAATATATGAACATATTATGAAAACCTTAGCTGATCCAGAGTAAAAATGTTAGACAAAAATTTGCGTATTATAAACACTTTAAAAGCCAATGCAGTTTTAACCGTTTCAAATGCATTGCCACATACGCATATTTACTGATGCCCATATCTTTGCATCCTGGTGGTAAAAAACCTTTAAAGCTTTGACGTTTGAAACTTAATGTAACAAAATTCATAGTTTGATATATCTAATGTCTCTTAAATTTGATTGCAAAGATAAAGAGATTAGAAAATCAGAAGTTGCCAGCACAATCTCAGTTCCTTTACGTTACGTTCCTTTATCTTCAGTTTTCCTACTGCATTTCGCAGTTCGCGAAAAATGAAAGGGGGTATGGGCTTACGGTAAAAAATAAGCGCTTTTGATTGCTATTACTTCTATCTGTTGCGTCTTTAAGGAGAAAATAATTATACCGAATAAAGTAGCGTCCATACAAATTAAGAAAGTTGCAACATTCAACTCGAATCGTAAAAAAATCAATTTAATTCCAAAAAAAATCATTCATATATTACAACCAATAATCATCGATGGTTTATTGGCGCATTCGTATAATAGTTGATATTTCATAATATTTTTTAATTTTTTTATGATCTTAGTTTGAAAACATATATTCCTGTTTCCAGGATTTTTGATAATGAAGAAGACATTTTCATATTTCTCAGGAATGTTCGAAAATCCAGCGCCAGCGAAATATTATTTAAAAGAACAATATCAAACATATTATGAAATATTAACTATATACGAATGAGTCGAAAAATAATCGATGACTTTTGTTTGTAACATCTGAATGAGTTGTTTGGAATTAAATTGATTATTTTACGACCCGAGTTGAATGTTGCAACTTTCTGAATTTGTATGGACGCTACTTTCTTCAGCATGAGCCGTTTTTAACAATTTTCTCCTTAGACGCAACAGATAGAAGTAAGATTAGCAGCGACCTAAAACGCTTAATTTTTGCTGTAAGCTTATACCCTCTTTCATTTTTGCGAAAACTCCCTTTACTATATAAGCCCAATTTCTAAATCTCAAAAAAGAAAGTTTAAAATTTTCTATGAAAATGTTCTGAATGGTTTAGCTCTAGCTGTAGAATCCGTGAAATCTTAAAGTTTAGTGAATTATTACCCAGCTTTAAAATCCTGGAACTGGAGTCTCTATAATGTTCATAAATAACTCAAGTTTTCACTCACAGAGCACAGAAAACAACTTTATAAAACTTTCATCAAAGAAAACTCTAGATCAACACAGTTCACATTTTGTAGATTTAACGGTTTGGATAACATTTAAACATATAAATCTGTCTACAAATAAAGCATAAGACAACCAATCCAATTTCTAAAAAAAGTATAATTGATGCCACAAAGTTTAGTTTTGAGGACATCAGCTTTTTAACTTATCTAGTTTTAGACCAAGAAATTGAACTCTTTTAGATAAAAAAGATTTAAGTTTGCAATGATATGGGAATTAAAAAATTTGAGTTTGTGGCAAAGACTCAATTCCTTTAATTTTTAATTTAACGTTTATTTATTCGGTTTGTTTTTCAAGTTTTAATGCAATTATACATATATCCGGCGCAAATTATATTTTTCCAATTCATTAAATTATGACGGAGATAGATAATAAAACTAGGTTTAAACATTGTTCTCCAGGGATGAGGGTGAATACACTTGCTCAGCGGAGAATGGTGTCGGAGAAGCAATCTCAACCTCGGTCTCCTTAAAGATAAATGGTAGGGACCACACCACAACTTTACAGGGACCATAACTTCTTGACCTACAGTGATAACCAGAAAACTCGGAAATATGAACGTGACTTTTAGACTAAAGTTATGACTTTAAATACTCCAGTGAGCATGCGACACAGTAATTGTGCAGTTTTCTGGTTATCAGTTATCACTGTATTAAACAATATTATTTTCAATAGTTATTCTTATTTTTGTTTTAAAATTAAGAGTTTTTTATAGAAGTTGATTATTCTCTTTGGTATTGCCAACTAAAAAAATAAATGGGAACCATACAACCTTAAATAAATTTTCTTGGACAAAGGAATTGAGTCTTTGCCACAAACTCTTATTTTCTAATAACTATATCTTTAAAACCCAATGTCATAGACCTTATACATTTCAAACGAAATCAAATAATCTAAGTTTGAAATATAAAATGTTTACACTATCATATTGCAAAGATATAGGAATTAGAAAATTTGAGTTTGTGGCAAAGACTCAATTCCTTTCTGTTCATATTTTCGTACAACGTGTTAGGAATTTAAAATTGTTAAAAGTTCATTTAATAAAGTTTTAAATTTATAAACTGTAATGAAAGTTCCATGATTAAGAACTACTTTGCAAACTTTACGGTTGTCAGACTAAACTTATAGGAAAGTATATTATAGGGGTTCCAGGACTAAACTTGTAGAAAAGTATATTATAGGGGTTCTAGGACTAAACTTGTAGAAAAGTATATCAAGGGTTCCAGGACTAAACTTGTAGAAAAGTATATCTGGGGCTCCAGGACTAAACTTGTAGAAAAGTATATCAGGGGTTCCAGGACTAAACTTGTAGAAAAGTATATCAAGGGTTCCAGGACTAAACTTGTAGAAAAGTATATCTGGGGCTCCAGGACTAAACTTGTAGAAAAGTATATCAGGGGTTCCAGGACTAAACTTGTAGAAAATTATGTTATGGGTTCAAGGATTAAACTTGTAGAAAAGTATATTAGGGGTTCCAGGACTATACTTGTAGAAAATTATGTCAGGGGTTCCAGGATTAAACTTGTAGAAAAGTATATTAGGGGTTCCAGGACTAAACTTGTAGACAAGTATATTAGGGTTCCAGGACTAAACTTGTAGAAAAGTATATGAGGGTCAGGACTAAACTTGTAGAAAAGTATATCTGGGGCTCCAGGACTAAACTTGTAAAGATATGTCAGGGGTTCCAGGACTAAACTTGTAGAAAAGTATATCAGGGTTCCAGGACGAAAATTGTAGAGAAGTATATCATGGGTTCCAGGACTAAACTTGTAGAAAAGTATATTAGGGGTTCCAGGACTAAACTTGTAGAAAAGTATATTAGGGGTTCCAGGACTAAACTTGTAGAAAAGTATATTAAGGGCTCCAGGACTAAACTTGTAGAAAAGTATATTAGGGGTTCAGGATTTAACTTGTAGAAAAGTATATTAGGGGTTCCAGAACTAAACTTGTAGAAAAGTGTATCAGGGGTTCCAGTACTAATGATTTTTACCAAACTTGACATATTTCAGCTCCACCGAGATTTATGATGGAGACTGAAGGAATTCTCTCCGTACATCAGGGATTCATTTATTCATTAATCCATACTTCATTTAATCTTTTAATTCATTATTTAATCCTTCCTTCATTTAATGCTTTAATTCATTTTTTAACTAATCCTTCCATTAATTCATTTTTTCATCCTTTAGTCTATTCATCATATACTTAACCCCCCCAGGTAAAACTGCTGTGTGTAAATTTAGAATATATTTAACCCTGTTAAATACCTTGCTAGAGGGTCGAGAGACAAGAACTAAATATTCGGAGAATTAAATCTCTCCTTAAGTAGATAATACCTTCCACCACTTACACAGATCAGTTCCTGAGAATTGGAGTTTCTTAATCCTTCAAGATTTATTCCAAATCTACATTTATTATTTTTAATAGTTTCAAGGATAAGATATCACCCAATGCTCTAATTTATACCTTGAGAAGAATTTACTGAATCCTATAGGGTCGACCTGTAGAACTGCTCTGCAAGGCTCGCGGAGATGATCCTATCTCTATCTCCTGGGTGAAGGGAGGACGGGAGCTGGTTGCTGAACCAGGACGGACATCCATCACAGTAATCCGGGAACTGGAACACGTGACCAGCAAGTTTGAGATTAGGAATGCGCGAAACACGGACAGTGGGAGATTTGAATGCCAGGCCTCGAATCCTTTCGGAAAATCCTTCTATCATATTCAACTTCAAATTTGGGGTGAGAATTTTAATTTTATCGCTTATGCTACCTAGAAACCAATATTTTTTTTAAACATTTTTTACAGCAGGATCCATAGAAGTTGTGATTTTATAGTCCAACGCACAGAACACAGGCATTGTGCTGTGTATTCATTTAATAATTATCTATGTGTACGAAAAAAATATACTTATACTAATACTTTTGCCATTAAGATATAACGTCGAATACAAAGAAGATTGCTTAATTGTCATCCAGCAAGTTTTATCAATGTATAAATCCAGCTAGTTTTATCAATGTATAAAACCAGCTAGTTTTATCAATGTATAAAACCAGCTAGTTTTATCAATGTATAAATCCAGCTAGTTTTATCAATGTATAAATCCAGCTAGTTTCATCAATGTATAAGTCTAGTTAGTTTTATCAATGTATAAATCCAGCTAGTTTTATCAATGTATAAATCCAGCTAGTTTTATCAATGTATAAAGCCAGCTAGCCAGCCATCACACGAATTATTTCTCTATTTAAATAGATGTTTTGTAAAATTGAGAAGCTTTAAAATATTTTGACATCCTTAGGATTCATAGAATTGAATTTTAGATATTTGGGTCATCTTTACAGTCTCATCCTAATAGTGGAAACACCGTAGTTTAAATGATTCTTGATGAAAAGAGTAAAATTGAGGGAGATATCTTTTTATTTTTAGGTGTTTTAACGTTATCGTTGAGATGCATTATTCACCTTTGAAAATAATTAGAATTAAGTTAGTCTCCTGTACTTCTAGAACCCCCGGAGTCTCCTGAGAACCTAACCTTGTCCAGTGTTACCTCAAGAACTGCTCGGATATCCTGGTCTGTCTCACAATCTAAACCAAAGATAGAGCGATTCGTTGTAGAGTGGAAGAAACAGCATGGTAAGATTAGTAGAAGTATTTCTATTGAGAATCCAAAGATTAACTTTTTTCGTCAGAAGGATCAAATTATTTCTTTTGGATATCCTGTGATTGGAACCCAGCAAAAATAGCTAAAACTTATCTCTCAATTTTCAAAAGTTGCCACATTAGATAGCGGGATTCGATTAAAAGGAGAGTTTGATAGGGAGAATAGTAGATATGAAGGGGAGAAGTTAAATAATTGCAATCTTGTCCAAGTGTTCATGTTCATATTTCTGCAAAATTACATGTTGTACTTTGTGACCTTGTAGCTTTCCAAGTTTTGATTTTACACCAAAGTGAAAGAAAAGCATTTTTTTCTAAAAGATTTTTAATATGAAAATTACTTAAAATTGATGTAAAAAAGATCAGAAAAGAAGAAAAATAATATGGAGAATGTTATGCAAAATTTTATACCACAAAGTCAAACTTTCTAATGCCTATATCTTTGCAACCTGATGCATGGTTTAAACATTTTATATTTCAAACTTAGACACTTTGATCTAACAGAATTCATAGTTTGAAATATCAAGGGTCTACAACATCGGGTGGCACAGATATAGAGATTCGAAAATCAGAGTTTGTGACAAAAAATCAGTTCATTTGGAAGACGAAGATAAAAAAGAAAAATCCAGTAAATTATTTTCTAATTTTGGAAAATAAATTTTTTTTTAAATTCAACAAAATATTTTTTCAGAAAGTTGGGAAGGTGGATCTGAGGATAAAACATTGTATGGACAGGTAATAAAAATCAAGTTTAAATCTAAACGTCAAATGCCAATAAATATTTAAAAGTTTGAAATATATATGATACATTTTATAATTTTAAAATTTGAAACTATTCGCTTGAAATTCTAATTTTCAAATCCTTATATCTTTGAAACCTGATGTCGCGGACCTTAATAGTTTGAGATTGAGACGGGCAATTTGTTCCTTTAAAGGGACTGTAAGCGTAATTTCATCTGACCCTCCTTCCAAATATGGCAATGCCTGATTCCTAACGGTACTCTTAAAACCTTAATCTAAAGAAAATTTAGATTTTTTTTAGGTAAATAAAGTGTTTAATTTTAATTACTCCCATATGATTTCCTGCGCAAGTCTTTTTTGAAGAGTCACTCCTTAATGCCGAGTCCATTGGCGCCTGATCCAATCAGGGTTCAGTCATGTGTTTGTTATCTATTCTGAACCAATAGAAATAGTATGGCGGTAACATCTATCTTTCTGTCTATCTCATTATCCAATTAGAGAGTTATGAATCCTTCATTCGGCGCTATCAGTAAATGGAAATATTTACTTTCACTGAAACTATATAGTATATACTCGAGTATTCACAATTGAAAATAATCAGTTTTTAAATTTATAAACATTGATGTCTAATTCATACTTGATCAGCCAAAGCTTTTATGTGAATCGGACATTGCAATCGTAGCATGGCGGGTCACTTGAAACTAAGCTTACAGTCCCTTTAATAAAAAGAAAAGTTGATATAAAAATGTTAATATAAAGGTGAACGATGTAATAATCTCTGGTCTGCGTCCTGCACTGCTGTACCAGGTTCGAGTCTTTGCGGAGAATGAGCTCGGCCGGAGTAAAGAGGGACGGGTGCTTCAGGTAAATAGCAAAACTACAATTTGTACAATAATACATTTTTAATCTAGAGAAATCAATTATCGGTTCTATTTGATGGAAAGGACCTGAACACTCGCCACAGACTCAATTTTCTAATCCTTTTATTTTTTATGACTTCATCATTCGATATTTTTGACAATATTATCCAGCTGACACATCATTTATTAATATTAAAGTTCAAAAGCATTAATATTGTGGTAAGAAATTAGGGTTCGAGGCGAGTGTTTGGAATTTTTATGTTTTAAATAGACCTGGATAAACAAATTATTGGTCATAATTTTGACGAAACTTGCATTTGTTCATTTGTTTGAATTAGATAAGTTTTTGTATTTTCTACTTGTTAAAATTAAAATATCTCTTCTAGGTTTGCAAATAGTTTTTGGTTTTCTTGAAAGTTGTCTAGTATTAAACAACATTTTATCCATATTTTCTTGTTTGGTTCCATATTTCAAATAAATTTCTTTTTTATCTCTCCTGGATAGAATAATAGCTGGAGCAGGTTTCTCTAATAGTTTGATATCAGTAGGAGTAGGTTTATTTCTCCGGGGTTTGATATCAGTAGGAGTAGGTTTATTTCTCCGGGGTTTGATATCAGTAGGAGTAGGTTTATTTCTCCGGGGTTTGATATCAGTAGGAGTAGGTTTATTTCTCCGGGGCTTGGTTTACTAGAGAACCTGATAATATTGTTATTGTATTAAAACCATCGGCTCTATAACTATCCCTGTACTATATCCCTGCCATTCCTGTATTATATCCCTGCTATTCCTGTATTATGTCTCTGCTATTCCTGTTTTAAATCCTTGCTATTCCTGTATTATACCCCTGCCATCTTTGTTTTATACCGGCCTGCTATCCCTGTATTATACCTCTGCTATCCCTGTATTATACCTCTGCTATCCCTGTATTATATACTCCTTCTATCCCTGTATTATACCCCTGATATCTCTGTATTATACCCCTGCTAACTCTGTATTATACCCCTGCTATCTCTGTATTATACCCCTATTGTCCTTTTAATTATATACCCCTTTTTTATATCCCTGCTATTTCTAGTTTATCACGGATGGAGAGAGACCCGAAGGAGTTGCTCAAAATATTAGGATCAGTCCTCTTTCTCCTACTCAGTTACAGGTATATAATGCTTTTACTTTATGTCTCTCTCTGTACTTTTATCCTTTAAATGAACTGTAAGTGTAATTTCAAGAAACCTGGCCTCCGCGCAATGATGGAAATGCCTGATTCATAACTGTACCCTTGAAACCTTTATTTTATCAGTAGTGTGGAGGACAATGTCATTCGACAGTCACTTTTGGAGAGAAACAGCAACTGAAAATAATCAATTTTCAAATTTAAAAACATTGATATCTCATTCTTACAACTTGATAAGACAGAGCTTTTACGGACACAGTTGTGAATTGGGCATCTCGCCATCTTTGCTTGGAAGGTTACTTGAAATTATGCTTACAGTCTCTTTAAGATATATGTGTCCTGAAAGTTATGCTTACAGTCCCTTTAAGATAATGTTTCTTGAAAGTTATCTGATTTCATTTTATAAAATTTTGAAATTCTCTGTGGCAAACTATTCTTTAATTTTAAAGCTAAATTTTTTCTTCATTTTTTTTGGATTGTTTTAGATATTTTTTAAACAATAAAAAACTTATATAAGACCTCAAAAGTATCATTTCTAAACCAGTGTATTCCCCCATGTTTTATTTACTTTCTAACTATTTCAATATATTGTATTTGTTCAATGTTTCAATTTTTCAATTTTCAACGTAATATGAGACTGATGACAATTTCTAACCCCGAGGATTCTCTATCTCCAAGAGTGAAAACCTTTTCTGCCAGTGAGGTCGATTTACAGATACTATAAAAGTTCACGGGCTCATATCTGGAAATCTCAAAAAGGGAGTGCACTACAAAGTAATATTTTACTTACAATTTATTTACAATGTGATTGACTATAGCAACCAGTAATCACTTATCAGTAAAAAGAGGGATTCACCTGAAAATTCAGAACCAATATCAAGCGTAAAATCCAACATTTTTTATTATTGTTCAATATTCATGGATAAATGAATAAAAAATATTCAGGTGATGTGGGATCAACCTGGCCCAGAACTCAGTCACGGAGCTATTCTCAGATATAATATTGGAGTTAGAGAGTTTGGGTAGGTGACAATAATCAATCAATCAATCAATTAATCAATTAATAAATCAATCAATTAACCTAATACAGAGCTTAGTCACGGAGCTATTCTCAGATATAATATCGGAGTTAGAGAGTTTGGGTAGGTGACAATAATCAATCAATCAATTAATCAATTCATAAATCAATCAATTAACCTAATACAGAGCTTAGTCACAGAGCTATTCTCAGATATTTGGTGGATGGCATTAATCAATTGACCAATCAATCAATCAATGCGATACAGAGCTCTCCCACGGAGCTATTCTTAGATATAATATCGGATTTATTAATCAATCAATCAATTAATCAATTAATCAAATATCGTATTCTATTTTCAGGACGGATCTACCATACATGTTCTACGATGTAGATAGATACCATTGGGATAGAACAAGACATCAGTTTAGGTATCATTATTATTTTTATTATTATTGTTTATTATTAATATTATTATTATTATTATTATTATTATTATTATTATTATTATTTATAATAATAATTATTTGTAGACTGCGAAGGTTGCGGAAATTCAGCAAATATGAAATTGTGATTCAGGAATTTGCATTATTCTGATCCTGATCTTGGTTCTTGATTTTGCAATATTTGGAGTTGTTTTGCATTTTCCAATTTGAATTTTACTTCCAAACTGTCATTGTGAATCAGAACTGCTGGAAATGTAAAGAATTGTCAATATTCAATTAAATATTTGTTTAAAACATAAAAAAGATGTCAAATTTTTATATTCTTGAATTGCAGCAAACTTCTCGCTAAGAATAATAATTGTTTTATAATTCTTTAAAAAGTAAATATTTGCAAATTATCTTTTTTGCATATTATGATCCGAGTTCTTAATATGTTTTTAATGTTTATTTTCTTAAGATTGTTTTACATTTCTTTATTTTTGAATATTGTTGGTGAACAGGCAGTGAATAGACACGGAGAAGGTCCTCTCTCAGATATAGTTGTTGGACAAACCCTGGAAGCAGGTAATAATAGGTGGCAACAGAGATATGGACCAATTATACACGACGTCACAAGTGTCAAATATAACAAGGAAAACGAAATTTTCTCATATTTGTTGACATGATTTCCAAGATTAAATAAAAAGTGTACAAACAGAAAATAAAGAATACATAAAATTTCTACTTATTTTACTCACCCACTTCATTTTAAAATTATCACTATAGTTGATAATTTTGTCGGACACAAAAACTAAGTTGAAAATTGTTACGTGTGAGTAGAGTGTACAAATTCTACGTTGCCATCTATTGTACTAGAATCTATTTGAGATGGACTATCAGCGTAATTTCAAGAAAACCTTTATGCAAAGATGTCAAGACCCAGTTTACAACGGTACGCCTGAAACCTGAAATCAATAATGTGGAAGATATTGTTTTTTTGTCTAATTAAAAGTATTTACTTAAGATCTGTTTTCCCGCAATAGAAATGGACTAGTCACTTTGTAGAGAATACACAGTTAACCCTATCTCTGCTGGGGTACTTGAAAACCAGGATATGCTGGGGGGGGGGGTCAATAAGTTCCCCCCCTCTAAATGCCATGTTTGATGTCCAAATACGACAAATGATACATCATTGGAAAGCTCTTGTGCTCTACTTTTAGAATCTGCAAAAAAAATTGCAAATTTGCAAAATTGAATTTTTTATCCCAAAATCCAGTAAGATAATAAAAATGTTTGCAAAACAAATTTGTCCAAAAAATGAAAAATTATACATTTTTGAAAAGCCCTTGACCATGCCATTTCAAATATGCAAAAAATTTTGCAAAATTTTAAATAACCTGATTTTTAATCAAGAAAAACTAAAAATTGCAAATTTCTTTTAACAGGTTATTTGCAAAAAATTTGAATTTTTTTCGCAAAACTTATGCAATTCGTTTCCTTATGGCAAAGGCTTTCCAAAAAGCTAAATTTTATCAAAATCTGACAAAACAAACATTTAGTTTGTTACAGAAAAAAGCCCGGTTTTAGGCCTAAAGGGAGTTCTTTGGGTATGTAGGAAAAGTCAGAAAATTTCAGCAGCCTCAGACCAATACTTTTTGAGTTATGTAAAAAAAACTACAGGGAGGGGGTCAAATTGACCCCCCCCCCAGCAGGAATAGGGTTAAAAAGACTAAGATGTTAGGGGTACCATTGTGAATCAACCATTGCCATCTTTGCCAGGATGGTAAATTGAAATTTAATGTCGCCAAAAACTAATAATTCTCTTAAAAAAACTTTCAAACGTAATTCGCAAATTAGACTTTTGTTTGCAGAGATCGTGCGAAAATAAAAGATGATATATTCCAAAAAAATGTTTATTAAAACCAATAGTTCTTGTAGTTATAATTATTTTTTCAATGATTAAAACTATCTCTGCAAATAGTTTTAATATATAAATAATTAATCATTAATTTTGTATTGAATCTTACAGTCTCATACTAATACACTTGGATAAATGAAACCTCGTTTCTTGGAGAACCCTTGAGTTAGTTGCTATATACAGAGTATTATACAGAGATTGTATAAATATAGTTTCCATTATTTTTAAGGGTCCGTTGGTTCATGAAACGTTTCATTTTCTTCATTAATTAACCCCTTCAACCCCACTTTCTTATATATTGGGAGTTTAAAGGCATTGTTCACCTTTTTTAAAATAAAAAAACGACACTATCCTCCACATTATAGATCAGATAAAGGTTGCAAGGGTACCGTTGTGAATCAGACATTGCCATCTTTGCATGGAGGGTCACTTGAAATTTCGCTTACTGTCCCTTTAAAGCTAATCTTACCACTCAACGATGTCCCTGAGGTTTAGGATCATGTTTATATTTACTTCTTCTATTTTTTTAATGGTTTAAGTTTTGTTCTGAACTATTTGAGTTTCAAGCCTCAAACCAAGGAGTAATTATATAATGTGAAGAGGGGACAATCTTGGTGAACAATGATAATAATTTACAATCAAATTATGAGCTAGGTTTGAAGTACTAAAGTGTCCTTTAAAGGAAATCTAGACGTAAATTTAAGTGACCCTCCATTTATAGAATACCATGTTCGATTCACTTTGTCTGAATGAGGAAGAATGAGATATTCTTATTTTTCCAACTGAAATTTGTATTTCTTTAGCAGCACTTGCAGATATATGTAGCAGAGACTACGAAGAAAATTGTTAGAATTCAACATATTTCAAGATAAAATGAACATATTTTTCTCTTTGTAACTCAACTAGAGATTTAAAATGGTATTTATGAATCGGTTATGACATAGGTTTACTATTCACTACGCCTAATGTCACTGTACGTTGTCATGATAAATAATTAACTTGAATTTTAGGATATAACGTTATCATCTCACTTTGTTCATTGTTTATTATTAATATTCATGTAACTTCTCAAACTGTTCTCTTTTTGTATGAAACCTTAATAAATATTTTAGCCCCTGAAGACGCCCCAGAGGCTGTTGAATGTTTGCCCCTGTCCTCTACAGGGGTGCACGTGAAGTGGCGAGCCCCCCCTCATCCCACCTGGAACGGACAAATCAGGGGATATAGAGTGCTTTATGTTCCTTTTCCTCTGAGAGATGAAGTTCCAGCCCTACTCAATACAGCCAGGTAAACTGGAGATATATAGTTCCAGCCCTACTCAATACAGCCAGGTAAACTGGAGATATATAGTTCCAGCCCTACTCAATACAGCCAGGTATATATAGTTCCAGCCCTACTCAATACAGCCAGGTAAACTGGAGATATATAGTTCCAGCCCTACTCAATACAGCCAGGTAAACTAGAGATATATAGTTCCAGCTCTACTCAATACAGCCAGGTAAACTAGAAATATAAAGTTCCAGCCCTACTCAATACAGCCAGGTAATCTAGAGATATATAGTTCCAGCCCTACTCAATACAGCCAGGTAAACTGGTTATATATATTTCCAGCCCTACTCAATACAGCCAGGTAAACTGGTTATATATATTTCCAGCCCTACTCAATACAGCCAGGTAAACTGGAGATATATAGTTTCAGCCCTACTCAATACAGCCAGGTAAACTGGAGATATATAGTTCCAGCCCTACTCAATACAGCCAGGTAAACTGGTTATATATATTTCCAGCCCTACTCAATACAGCCAGGTAAACTGGATATATAGAGTTCCAGCTCTACTCAATACAGCCAAGTAAACTGGAGATATATAGTTCCAGCCCTACTCAATACAGCCAGGTAAACTGGATATATATAGTTCCAGCTCTACTCAATAAAGCCAGGTAAACCAGAGATATATAGTTCCAGCCCTACTCAATACAGTCAGGTAAACTGGAGATATATAGTTCAAGCTCTTCTCTATACAGCCATGTAAACTAGATATATAGTTCCAGCAATACCCAATACAACCAGGTAAAAACTAATGTTTTGATTAAATAATGTTTTGATAAAATCAGGTTTTGAATAAATAATGTTTTTAATAAATAATGTTTTGACTGAATAATATTTTGATTAAATAATGTTTTGATTAAATAATGTTTTGATTAAATAATGTTTTGATTTAATAATGCTTTGATTAAATAATGTTTTGATTAATTAATGTTGTGATTAAATAATGTTTTGATTAAGTAATGTTTTGATTTAATAATGCTTTGATTAAATAATGTTTTGATTAAATAATGTTGTGATAAAATAATGCTTTGATTAAATAATGTTTTGATTAAATAATGTTGTGATTAAATAATGTATTGATTGATTGATGTTTAGGCTAAGTGCTGTTATTGGAACTACAACGGCACTATCTGGATTAGTACCCAGCACTAATTATAGTATTCAGGTGACAAACTTTTAATTAGTTTTTCTTTCAAAACATGGATAATTATTTCCGTAAAACTTTGACCTCCAACATATACATCTTGCAATTAAGGTTACCTCTAAAAAATGTATTTAAATGAAATAAAAAAATGTTTGGGCTATATTTACTTTTCCGATTCTGACAGAAATTTAATATTGCATAAAAAGCAACCCCCCCCCNAACCCATCGGTCTATTTATATATGATTATATCTTATATCCAGGTGCTAGTGTATACTGGAGCTAAAGTTTATATCCTGGTCTATTTATGATTATATCCAGGTGTTAGCGTATACTGGAGCTGGAGATGGAAGGTTCTCTGCTCCAGTCTCCTGTTCTACTGAAGAGGATGGTAGGATATTTAATAATTCTAAAGTAAACTTCTTCAAGATCAACCACCCTAAGTTGAGAACTCATTCTCCCCTAAAAACTGAAGAATTTTCAATAATCTAGATGTTCAAGTATCAGTGCGTAAAACTAACTAGACATAAATATGTCTGGGGGGTATCGAAAGAAAAATGGTCTTTTATTCAAAATTTATTAGCGTTAGAAGAAAAAAGTAAAAAAAAAGCATTTGAAAAATCGACATTTTTCAGGTAAATAGTAGCCATCAGGTTCAATAGTAAATACTCATGAAGTATTAAACAAAGACGTCAGAATGCGCAATGTCAAATAATAAAAAGGTTGCTCCCCCCCCCCCATTTTATCCTTTTTGATTTAAGTCACATGCAAGATCTTTAAAGAATTAAAACTTCCTAGGTTTTTAGTTTATATGTTTAAAAGTATATATATATCTATATAGCATATAGCTTGTAGTACTTCCGGCCACTTTCCTGTAATCGATCATACTGTTTGTTTTGGCGTTGGAACACGAACTAGTTTGGGTCTTGTTTTGGCGCCACCTTCTTCACTCACCATACATTATCTTACAAAGATTTACAAATATAAGTATATCGGGAAAATAAGAATAGAATTTGACACAAGCTCAAATTTTCTAATCCTCATATCTTTGCAACTTTGTGTTAACATGTGATATTTCAAACTTAAATTATTTGAGCGAACAGAATGCATTGTTTGAAATATCTAAGGTCTACGACATCGCATTGTAAATATATGGAAATTTGAAAATCAGAGTAGGTGGCAAAGACTCAATTCTTCCTCTGTATTGTTCTATGAAAAATGTTGAAAAGGCTGAACCGATTTCAAAACTGGAAATTAAGATATCTCTTTTTTCTCGACATTTTATATAGATGAGTGTAAATAAAGTTTGTTTACACTATATAACGTCCACCCAATACCATTGTTTACATTTACAAATTGTCTTCATATTTTATTTTTATCTATCCATTCAGCTTTCTTTTCACCAATTTAGACGACCATTCATTCTTAATAGTTTATTCCCTTGGAGGGGGAATTATCATCAACAATATTTCCCCCTCTCACACATTCATACATAAATATTAGATTTGGTGCATTTTCTAACTCTCCAGAATAGCGTACACAAATTGGCAATATCCCAAATGTCATGGCCGCAGCGATCCCCCTTCCCCCGCCCCCCGCCCCATTAAAAACTGACTTGGTTGAGAGTGCTGAACTATATTAGATATTAGGTATAGAATGTTATTTATATATTTTNCCCCACAATTAACACAAAATTATAAGAGGCATTGCTCGTTTTTCTGACTTTGCTGGCTTTAAATGTGTTCAAATCTGACAATTTCTTCTCATTTTACTGAAGCAAAAACCCTCAAATATTTTTTTTACAAAAATTTCAATTGATTGAAAACAATTAGTTGCAAACATGGATATCTACTTAAAAAAACTAATTCTGAAAACGTATCCACCCCCAAAGCAGGAGTTTTACACATCTGTCCGCTCAACCTCAGGATTTACAGATAATTAAAAAATTTAATAATAATATGACTCAAATGAATGCTAAAGAAGTTTTCCACAACACTGCATACTCAGTTCAACTACCTTACATAGCCGGTCACTCCCTTTAATGCTTGATCATACAAAGCTTTTAGGGTACTGTTGTGAATCTGAAATTCATGGAGGATCACTTGAATTAAAGTTTACAGTTCTTTTAAATACTTCCAGATATAATACTTAGAGCTATAAAGCTACACTAATTTATTCTTATGTCCGGTCTGATCAATTAAGAATTGTGGGTGATGTGAAGAAAGAAAGTTGGCAGGATAAACCCATCTCCAGGTCCCAGGGTAGTACAGGGTGTACAGGATAAACCCATCTCAGGGTCTCAGGATAGTACAGGGTGTACAGGATAAGCCCATCTCCATGTCCCAGGATAGTAAAGGGTGTACAGGATAAACCCATCTCCAGGTCCCAGGATAGTACAGTGTGTACAGGATAAACCCATCTCCAGGTCCCAGGATAGTACAGGGTGAACAGGATAAACTCATCTCAGGGTCCCAGGATAGTACAGGGTGTACAGGATAAACCCATCTCCAGGTACCAGGCTAGTAAAGGGAGTGCAGGATAAACTCATCTCCAGGTCCCAGGATAGTACAGGGTGTACAGGATAAACCCATCTCCAGGTCCCAGGATAGTACAGGGTGAACAGGATAAACTCATCTCAGGGTCCCAGGATAGTACAGGGTGTACAGGAAGAACCCATCTCCAGGTCCCAAGATAGTACAGGGTGTACAGGATAAACCCATCTCCAGGTCCCAGGATAGTACAGGGTGTACAAGTTAAACCCATCTCCAGGTCCCAGGATAGTACAGTGTGTACAGGATAAACCCATCTCCAGGTCCCAGGATAGTACAGGGTGTACAGGATAAACCCGTCTCAAGGTTCCAGGATAGTACAGGGTGAAAAGGATAAACTCATCTCAGGGTCCCAGGATAGTACAGGGTGTACTAGTTAAACCCATCTCCAGGTCCCAAGATAGTACAGGGTGTACAGGATAAACCCATCACCAGGTCCCAGGATAGTACAGGGTGTACAAGATAAACCCATCTCAGGGTCCCAGGATAATACAGGGTGTACAGGATAAACCCGTCTCAAGGTCCTTAGGATAGTACAGAGTATACATATCAGGGTCCCAGGATAGTACTGGCTAAACAAGGACACAATCCATAGCTTTAAAACGTACTTGGGATACAAGTTATTGAATATAACTCGATATTCATCAATCTGACTTGAACGAAGAATAGAAGACTTAAAGAAAGTGTAAAATACTAATTATTTTCTAGGGGGGTTCTCTACAAAAGTTATTTACGTATTTCTACTGCAGGGAAACATTTAGGAATATCGTAACTAAACACTTTTAAATCTAGATAACCGACAATACGTTTCAGATTATTGACCAGATTAAGGTTTCAATGGTACCGTTGTGAATCCCACATTAACATCTTCGCATTGAGGGTCACTTGAAATTACGTTTTCAGTTTTTTAAATGATTTAATTAAAAATTCACTCCTTTTGTTTTCCATTTTATATTTTAGATTCCCCTCTTCTTTTACTTTTTATTTTCCCACCAACCTTTTCCCAAAATGTTGTATTCCAGTCTGATCTTGTTTTATTAGCAAAAACAATACCATATGGTGCATTCGGAACATCATGGGTTTATACCTTTATACTGCAATACATCACAGCAGTTCTACACGTTACTTGTAATAAACATTATTATTATTATCATTATTATTAGTATTATTATTATTATTATTATTATTATTATTATTATTATTATTATTATTAGTATTATTATTATTATTATAATTATTATTATTCTTATTACAAATTGGATTTTTTGGCAAAAAAAAAAGAAAAAAAGGGAAACAAATCATATCCAAGGTTTTAGGTATTTACTTGAATTATCGATAAATATACAGAATGTTAAATTACTAAAATAATTTTTTTGTCGTGAATGTATAATTCATCCTTTTAATTTGACAAACTATTCTTCTTTCACAAGGAAAAATTATCCTGGACTAACTACATGCGTTCAGTTTCTGCAATTTAAATTTAATCCTATATTGGTCTATACTTCAACAATCTATAAACTTGTTGTTTTGTAATACTATTTCATCTATAAAGACAAAAAAAGAAGATTTCAAGTTTAATTGTGTCAAATTGTGATCGAAAGACACAACTTGTTCAGACAAACTGTTAAATCAGCGTTAAAAGCAAAAATGCAATGTTCAGTGTGATAAAAGTATTTTAAGTTTGTATGTACTTAAATAACTAATCACAATATTATCTACAAGGTGCCAACTCTGTGGTTGTATCCTGGTTACCCCCACACCATACCAATGGAGAGGTCATCAAGTACAGAGTTTATGTCAGGTATATGGTATTTTATGTCAGGTATATTATCTTTTACGTCCAGTATTTAATAAGTATATTATCTTTTATGTCAGGCGTATTATCTTTATGTCAGGTATTTTATCTTTATTCCAGGTATATTATCTTTTATGTCTGTTTTTTATCTTTTATATCCTGTATTTAATCTGTATATTATCTTTTATGTCAGGTATATTTTCTTTATGTCAGGTATATTATCTTTTATGTCAGTTATATTTGAACTTCTATGTCAGGAATATTAGCTATGTGTATTTATCTTGTTTACTAAGTAACCTAGTGTGTGCAAAATAATTTGATTATGCATTTTTTATCCCTCACTCCCCCCTCCTCCCTCCCACCTTTCCTTTCAGTACCCTCCTTCTCTCATACCACTCCCCCCAACTCG